AATGGGAATTGATGAATTTCGCACGTAAAATTATTAGGACTGCGCTCACGCACGAAATGACAGAATTAGAGATGTGCTGTTACCACATTATCCATGTTTTTTGCCAAAATTGCAAAATGTTTATATCTAACTGCATTTATAATTAAATTTCACAATTTTGGCAAAAAATACAAATTTTTCCTCCATAACGCTAAACATTGATTTCAGTGAAAAATGTATAAAATTGACATACAAAATTGCGAATGTTAAAAAATTGGTGTTTCTCGTTGGAATCACAAAAACTTGTTACATACAATTTAACAAACTTACTTACTTCAAAGTTTCGAACATTTTTCTGCTTCGTTTTCTTTAAAACGCGCTATTTGTCGACAACTAACTTTTATTGAATACATTTTTTATTTGAGTCAGTAATTTTATTTTCACCACAGAGACGAATTTTGCAAATAATTTTTTTACAAAAATTAATGACTCAAATATTTTTTTTTTCAAAGAAACTATCAAATCGATCGTATTAATTAATTTACACACACAATCCTCTATTTAAGGTAACTAGTTATGATTTAAGTGACCCAAATGTCCTAATATTTGTGAATTGTGATCAATGCACCGATCAGAACTGTCAAGTTAAAACTGACAGATGTCAATGGTTAAGAAGTTGACATTGACACGAGTGAAACGCGTCACTATTTGATTCATTTGATTAGATGGGTTCATTTTTTTTTTAGATTTGGAAGTTGGTGTGTATGTTAGAACGATTATTTTTTAAAAGTAAGCTTAACTCGATCAATTTGATACTTATTCGAGTTGTCCTATACCTTATTTTTTTATCCAATTTTACATCTTGTCAACGAAAATCTAGCATTTCACTAATCAACTGTTATTGTAATGTTAAATTCACCTAATTTATTAAATCACAATGTAATTATTTTTATCAGTACTGATTACAATTACAAGCGCAATTTATTATACTTTTTAAGTTATCCGATGAAGTACAAATTAAATTATATTTCAAATTATTTTATGTTAAAAGGCATTGAATTGTACCAGTATCACGATTAGTATTATTATTATTTATTTGTCCGCTTACAAAATACAATGTTGCCAATGTAAAGTCAGCTGCTATATTGAACTTTGCTAACTTGTATATGTATAAAGTTCAATTTTAATCAAGTATGCAGCTGAGTGTACAGCGAAAAAAAAGTTTGATAAATTAGAATATTTTACAAGGCTTTTTTTATTTTAACCGTCAGAAAATAATAACTTTTAAGTCTTAACTGCCGAAAATATATTTATACGAAAAAAAACTATTATTTTTATTTCGGTTTTCGTCGGCCGTTTGGTGTAGTGGTTCAGAACGGACTACTATGCCGAGAGGTCCCAGGTTCGATTCCCGGCCGGGCAGAAATTGGAATGATGAATTTTAATTTCTGTGACGGGTCTGGGTGTTTTCTATGTATAATATGTATGTATTTACAAAAAAAAAGTATTTAAGTATGTTTATATCCGTTGTCTAGTACCCATAGTTAGAGATGTGCCGCTGAGAAAGTTCTCGTTCCCGGCAATATTCCCAGTGAGAATATTCTCGAGAACCGAGAACGCTCCCGGGAATATTCTCAGTGTTCTCGACAGAATACATTTAGTTTTAATTTTAATTTTGTTGTTTATGTGTGGTATTATTTGTAATGCTTCAATGTTTTATTAACTGGGCGTTAAGACTAGTCGTTATAAACAAGACATGAAACGTGTGAGTGAAATATTGCTGTCTTGCTCACTCTTTTCGTGGCGAATGCGTACCGCGGCTTTAGGACTCGGCTACGGTATTTGAACATGAGTGTGCCTCTGAGTTTTAAGGCCCTTGCCACTCTGGCGGATTTCAAGCGGATTCAAAGCGGATTTAAAGCGGAGCGGCGACGCGACAGAGACGCCGNAAGGGTGCGGTATATGGAAGGCTGGTAGGGAAGCAAAATATCCCACTTCATTTCTACACTTCTACGAGTTACTTACCAATGATTTAGACTTAAGATCGTATTCTATAAAGTAAAAAAATATCTAAGGCTGAGTTGCACCACCTAACTTTGACCGTAACTGTGTAATAAAGATAACCGGTGTTTTTTGTATGGAGTTTAACAGATTTTTGACGTTTGTCAGAGTTAAAGTAAGATGGTGCAACCCAACTTAAATAATAATTGAGAGTGACTGCTCTGCTGTTCCTGAAAATAAATTGAATTTTAATTGGCATCTGACTATTCTGAAGTCTATTCCTACCTAGTTTCCACAAACGCTATACTTTGTAGCCAGAAATCAGTTTGAGCGCAAAACTTAAATAACTCAAGTCTATGTTGCGCCCGAGAGAAACTTTTCATTGGACCGCTCGACCGGAATCAAATAATCAGAAGAAAATGAAGTAAGGGAACAGTGGAAAAAAAACGTTCTCAAATTAATCGAATTCTTTATTAGTTTGTAGACTACATTTTAGGCCCCTTTTTAAACAACACGTCCCATCTCACTATAGCTTGCTACCACCACATCGGGACAACTTAATTATCATCTGTTGCTGAGAAATGTCACCATAAACTAGTCAACTTTTTCAGGCTCTAAATTCAAAGTTTTATTTATTTATTTCAGTTGTTCTAATGGCTTAATCAACTGGCCTTTCTATTCGGCCTGTGCTTAGAACTCTACTCGCGTGATCACAGTATGTAGAGCAGCCTGAATGCGTGGTATTCTTGTTTTTACATGTTTTAAACCTTTGTAATGTTAGACCTCGCTTGAAGGGTGGAATTATACTGACGTTCGTGCAAAACCAGAACCTTGGTAAACACTGGAAATAGAACAAAAATGAGGAGAAATGTATGGGATAGGTATGTAATGTATGTATGGCTTGATTTGAAGGACATCGTTTTAGCGCTCACCAGTTTGCGCCACTGTAGAGTAAGGTCCTGTCACTTGCTAGTAGCGAAGACAGTGGCACCAACTGGTGAGTGCTAAAGTGGTAGGAGGACTATCGCATTTGCACTCATCAAGATGGCGCCAATCAAGGTGCCAACTGTTAAGTATAAAAACGATAGCCCTCATGGGAGTAGGAAACTATTTGCAGTTGGTATTTTTGCGACTGTAAAATGTCATTTAATTTCATGGAACTTATAAACCTGCCTGTTAATAAATCTTTAGAAGATGGTAGACACATAATTTGGGAGTGCTCAATTTCCTTTTCATAGCAATTAGATAGCTTTATTGTGATGCTTAAAACATGATTGCTATCTCTAAGTTCTGAAAAAGACAACGACATACCTACATTACTTAGTTTACATTATTATTCACTAAAGCTGGGTTGCACCATCTTACTTTAAATATAACAAACGTCAAAAGTCTGTCAAACTCCATACAAATAATATCCTCCTTTTTTAATTCGGTTAAAAATACCGGTTAACGTTATAGTTATTGAAAATGGTGCCCAAAACAGAAGTCTATCTTCGCGTATCAACAACAGCTGGAGATAAAAATGTTAAATTGTAACCAAAACAGTCTTTATTACACTTTCATTGAACTAGGGCTTATTAAATGTTCTGCTACCATAGACTCCCGCGCCGCGCCGACACCTGTTTCCGGCGTGGCACTTCCGCCGGAGTGCCGCCGGTTTTATAGCTTTTTTAATGTTCAAACAACTTGTACGCACGTAGTTTACAACGAAAATGTATTTTGATATTTACGGGATTTTTATTAATTAGTTAAACGATTTAAAAGCACTTTAATTAGAAAAAAAACTTTCAAAAATCTTCACAATATCTTTCTTTGGAAGTAAGCAGGTAATACCTAGTTTATGCATCAAGTTTTTATGTAATTATTTCAGTTTTAGTGTTGTAACCTATCTGTATATTTTACACCCTGTATAGGTACTTTGTATCTTGTATCAGTTAGCTACAGTAAATCTAACATCCGTAAAAAATCAAAGTTTTGAAGTAGGTATGGCGCCTAATATTGAATTTAATAATTGAAAATAAGATCTTGATCTAACCAAACGGTTTCGTCCGACTATCTCGAGTCAGACTTCACGACAAGCGCCGAGATGTTTACAAACAATAAACAATCGCAATGACCTACATTACGAATTGAATCTCTATCCACCTTTGTACTGATAAAAATCCGACAGCCTTGTAGCGCCATCTAGTGTCGAGTGGAACGATTTTGAGAAGCTAGCTGCTTTGAGCACGCTAAAGCATGAGAAAAGCATGCTTTTATTGTAATGTACTTTTTCTACCGCACGCTAGATGGTGTTAAAAATAAGTTTGCAAATATTTATTTTTATTGGGTTTTTTCTTTCTTACATTTTTACGTTACGGTATTAATAAAATGGCTGTTTAATCTGTTATGTAGCAGTTGACCCGCTGACCTACTTCTGTAAGGATCTTACAGATAAATCTAACATTTATTATATTTTTATTATCCTTCTGAAACAACAATGGGTTGTTTTGCTGCGTTTTATGATTTTGACCTATTTAATTTAATTTAATAACTTAATTTAATAACTTCCACAAAGGGTACCTACTATGTAGACATAAAATTTTATTAGCATGCGACGCGATCACTATTATTAATAAAATTTTAAATGGAAAATACCTACCTACTATTTCTCATTTTTGTAGTAAACTCAAACCGCATCATTCCGAGATTCTGTTGTTAACGGCAACTGTGGCTAAACATTTAAGTTAACTATAGATGATTAAGGCTTAGTTTGCACCATCTTACTTGAACAATAAAAAACGTCAAAAGTCACCTATACAAAAGACACCGGATAGGGTATTAAAGTAAGGTGGAGCAACTCAGCCCATGTTGGCTATTTCCTTGTTCGAATAGAATTTGGGGAGAAGATAACTTACCTTGTCAGGCATGTGGAAAGACGAAAAAAAATCCAAATAACAAGGTTTCATTAACTAAAAATAAATAAATCTGAAGTTTTTTATGTATCCTTACCCGATTAGGATACAAAATAAAACAAACAATACTGTTCCGTATATGAAGATATTATATTTTCAAAGAACATGTATTTTTATATTTTCAGCATAATTTCGGTCAATACAACGTGTGAAACAATACGACCCACTGTTTAATTATACCATTATATTTATGTAACAAGTAACTAATATCATTTACTTTAATACCATAATAATTATTGTGACTTGATCGACAATTTACTACACACTTGAGTCGATACGAAAAAAGGTCGCTCGAAGCTGCAGTGTCAAGTCAAAACTCTTAGGTTTAAAAAAAAGTACAAGGTAAGGTTTAAAAGTTTGAAATTTTAAAAATAGAACGTATTCGAAGCTCGAACGCTTTCGACCGAACACTGCAGCGCGTTTTCCCGCCTAACATACAATACACACTACATACAGCGACTGTGTATAAAAAGCCATAATTTTGCCAACACTCTATATTATTATCTGTGATATAAAGTAACAAGTTTACATGTAAACATTATGAGAACAAGTCCGTTGGACAAATAAATGGAGGACGGCCATAGAAACAACTTCACTGGACCGATCCTCTCTCTAGAAATGACAGATCAATGGTATTATTATTCGATGTTGTTCTTTCAAGCGACAATCCAATTTATGAACGCGTTTCATTAAAAAACAATTGCTTAAAACAGCAATAAGCTTTCACATTGGTAATAGTGGCTTAATAATTAAGAATTACTTAACTAGATGTACAAATTATTTTATCGGATAGTAACGAGAAAGAGAGTTAAAATATTTTTATCATTTCACAAATTGGATTTCGTTTACCGGTCGACTATTTTTATTATCACAAAATACAATACTGTTGTATAGATATTTGTAAAAAAGCTCACAATAATCGTAAATTACATGTGGGTAGTTATAAAATAGCTGCCGTCAACGGAAGAGGATAAGACATTTCCCGCCAATTTGCTCATTCCTTCACGATCAGTCGAAGAGAGCGGACGTCTCTCCATCAAGCGAACAAGGCATTGATAACGGAAAAATATTTTATTTAATTTACTTAGATTGTAAGGCAGTGCTTCTTTTGACATTGTACAAGCGTTTTTTCACAAATATAGTTTGAACACCGACAACACTTTCCTAAGGAAACTTTAACAAGAAGAAGCCTATTCGTAAATAGAATGTAATGATATGCCGATGTCAGCTTGGAATGCCCATTTTAAACTTTGTGCATGATATGTAAAGTTTTTAAATTAATTTCAACAAAGATTCGGCTAGCAAAGAAGAAACATTAGGCAAAGTATCAACTATTCCATACAAACACAACGTACTCCTTGAATTATCTAGCTATTGTAGTGTAAATAAACTCCCTAAAATTAATTTAAGATCAAACATTTCTAAATTATCATAATGCCTATGGTCGATTTTCTATTAGAGACTATACAAAGGTAATAGAACAGATTCAACTACTATAAATTTTTGCATCGAAGGTAAGTAAATTCTATGACAAGATTTATCGATGAAATAATTGTATTTATAAATAATGCTGTTTATAATAAAATTTCAATAATATATTTCACTAATAGATAAAAATAGACACCGAATGCGGATTTAACTAGAGTACAGGATAGATTAAATTATTGCTCTAATAAGTATACATTTTTGTTAACAAGTGCAAATAGATAAATAATTTTTGGTTCCGTTTTCAATTAGTATAATGTAAAAAAATATTCATTTAGCTTCACATCGTTTCGATTGAAGTATAAATAAAACAAAAATGTAAAAATAAAAACAAGATTTATTTACAATAACAAAATGAACCATTCTTTGGTCTTATGGCACGATTAGTGAGAAAATGGCGCCGTTTCACGAAGTTGCAAGCTTGGACGACGATGTTAGTACACAACGCTTTTGTTAACGCGTTTTTATTAATTCTTGAGATTATTACATCTGTCAATCACTTCCGGTTGCGATTCAAAATGGCTACCACGACAAAATGGCGCGTAACGGTTTCCGGCGCGAGTGAAAAGCGTTGTTTTGGGTATTTTTAGGTTATTTTTTGGATCGTTTGTTCGGTCTATGTAGGTGATAAGCGGTAATGGAAGGTAAGGTAGCGGTGAAGGGTGAGTGTGCGTGAGAAGCCACATACACGGTTTGGACTTAGCTGTGAGGCCTCATAGAACCGTCGCTGGGATGTCCGTCTCCTGAAAACATTTTGCCACAATTATTGATTTATAGAAAGGACTGAATTTAAGTTTGCAGGAATAAAAGGAGTACTGACAAACTAGGTAACTTTATTAAATGTGATATAACATCTAGAAAACTGAATTTCGAATGAAAGTATTGATAAGAATGGAAGTTTGTAATAAAGCTTTAATAATCTTGACTTTTTGGCACATCCAAGGTATTACTAAAGATTCTCATGAGAATTTTTCAAGATCTGGTTACTAAGATCTGTAAAAGTCCCAAAGTCCCCAGAACTGGGGTTGATCATGAACTTCAGCTAATGTAGGCAGTTGATTCGTCTCACTGAAAAACAATGTAACATTTAAAATAATGATAATGAACTTTCAATACCACCTAAAGCCTTTTGGAAGGGGTCACACACTCATTCACCATTTTATTGTCGAGCCACATTGAGCTTGGTCTGGGGTTTCAGTTTCTCACATTATTTACAAAATAGCCATCAATTAATACGGACATGTGCTCTCGTTCCCATCACTACTTTTTTATACCTAATGATTTAACCACACCAACGCGTGCAGATCGCCATCGCCGGCGCGATCATAGGCCAACGACAGGTCGCGAGAACAATGACAAAAAATACTATTCCCACCTCTCGTTCCCACCACTGCAACTCCTGTGTAGCCAGGATCTACAGCTTGACCGCCAATAAAAACCCAACCAGTGAAGGTCAAGTTTGTCCCGGGGGAAAGTTAAACTGTCATTGGACCCGCAACTAATTAATCAGAAGAACATAGGAGGAGTTCGAAATTAAGGTTCGACTTCCCTCCATTGCAAAGAAAAAGATTGCACCACGGACAATAAATTAAATTAAGGGGGCCTATCTTATGAGCAATTAGCAACTACCTGCCAATAATATTTTTCACAAAATCGCTTAAAAGCACGGAAATTTTTCCTTGTCGCGACAAGATCGGTGTAATAAATTGCGGAAACAGATGTATGTTGTATTGAATTAAGCATTAGGTATATCACGTTCATGTTTCCAAAGATCACACTCCCACAAGATATGATGGGCAGACTGCTCATGCGAGAACAATGACAGTCCGCGCTACCCATGACAGTCCGCGCGACCCATGACAGTCCGCGCGACCCATGACAGTCCGCGCGACCCATGTCATTGGCCTATGATCGCACCGATAGCGATGTGCACGCGTTGGTGTGGTTGAAACTTAAGATCCACAGTTTATTTGCTAACGCAAAGCTAATTTTCCTTTCCAAATGGGAAACTAAAGCATTGGCTAACTCTATATTATTACACATGATTTAGTGGATATTCTGCTGTTAAGAAGCATCACGTAGCTGAGTTTAGCTTATAATATTTAAGTAGGTATATCTTTTAATGTTTGATTGATAAAAATTACACATTATGGTCTGACACTTGACGCTCTACAATCAAATGAACAAAAAAAATATTCTCTGGGGTTTATTAGCACACACAAATTCACGTTAAGTTAAAATCCTGCATAATTTAGTCCAAACACATTCACACACATTCATTTAATTTTGTTTAAAACTTATAGTTTCAGTTTGAATAGTGACTGTCATTGTGGGAAAATGATGTCATTTTGTATGTCAATAATCCTGAACTGCAATGGAACCCTGATAGCTTCTGATTTTATGAAATAGTTTCAAAGTAACGTTGTTTTATATCACACACGCTACACACACACACGTAATTGACACTACCAATCAATTGACATGAACTTTTGATGCGTTGTCTAGATAACGACGACGTTTATTAGACTTTTTAGAAGCGCCTTTACATTTCCCAGTATAGGGCCACTTGCCGACCAACTCAGTGTCAAAGCAATTATAATTTTACCTACACTTCATTGAGGATCAGTAAATGCACTATTTTTATCTCTAGAATTGGATTGCATTTTAAGAAAAATGTGGCTGAATGATTTTTTTAATGCAACTATCCAACTAAAAGAAAGCCAATGTATAAATAACTCATAGTTGTTTGAGCAGAAAATCTAATGTTTCCTCTGAAATCTGTAATTCTCGAAATTAACACTATAGTCTGGTCTGCGAGCACGTAGAATTTTATCCAATGACCCCAAGCTACTCATCCTTATCGCTCGCTTGTAATGGGGATGTTGCCTGGGTCAAAAAGCAAGAGTTTTAATTAGTCCGTCAGTTAACTTATCAAAAAATACTCTACACGTATTTTTCACTTTTTCAAACTAATGAAAATTTAAAGAGATAAAGCGCCCCAAAGTTCATAAGAAGAGGCCCGTGACGTCAACGCTTGCTTAAAAATGCCGCACGTTGTGACGTCGTGCGCAACTTCAACGCACCATAACTATGTAATTATTTGTTAGATTGACAAATAAAAATATATGTGTCCAATATTTTTTGATATTAAACATTACGGACTAAAAAAATTTTTTTAGGCAACTAGCCTATTATGTTGCTGTCGCGCTCGCACACTCACTTTGGGCGCCCGTCGCACAGTCGCGACAGCAGTATAATTATGCGCGAGCGACAAGGGTGGGTAGCTTGGGGTCATTGGACAAAATTCTACGTGCTCACAGACCGGGCTAGATAATTTGTATCTGAACTGAATTATCGGTTAATGCAACTCAACTAACAAAGCCAGTCCAAAAATCCAAATTCCAAACCCATTCTCAATATTCGCAGTACAATACCCAGACTATTACATTGTGGTCGGCCAGCAGCCCGTCGGCCAGCGTCAGGTTGATCGGCAGCAGGCTCCGCGGCGGCGTGGGCTCCTGGTACACCTCGCGCTCCAGTTCCACTATCCTCTCATTCTGTAACCATAAATAAAAATAGAATAGAAAGAAAATACATTTATTTGGCACACTAAAACACCTGAGTGATTAAAATATTTAGTATACTCGTAATATAGTTGCATGACAAATTGACAATAATAGGTGGGCTAAACTATGCCAACAGGCTCAGCATTTATCATGACTTGCTCGTAAGGGCCATCTCACGCCTGTAGCACACCTCCGCCGCGAAACCATGACAGCGAAACTATTTCAATATAGGTACATATTTGAAATCACATCACCACATTAGCAACGTGGCCAAGTAAACGCAGAGATGTACCTATATTGAAATTATTTCGCTGTTATAGTTTCGCCGCGGAGGTGTGCCACGGGCGTCAAGAAGCTGGTTTTCCGCGGACACCCTTGATTGATGTGCTATAAGAAGGCCAGTGTGGTGTTTAAGAAATCATCTTTGGTTGTTCCACGGGCATTGTTATGCCATCTAATGAAAACACTAGTATGAAGACGATGATTTCCAATGCAATCTTTCATCCGATAATTCTTAACTCCTTCAAGTTTAATTTTCGCAACACCAAGAGTCATATTTAAGTCCTAGGTAGGCGTGGAACGGTATAGCAGACAGACAAACAGGAACTTTTGCATTAGACAGTGGATTGAATGAATAGAAATCAGTAGTTTCGTTTCTGTACATTAATGTACTACAAGAACTGCAAGCACTATTACTTTACTATACTAGTCAGAAAGGCAACTTTACTTTACCTCAATCTTAAGCCTATTGAGCAGTCTGTCCCGCTCGTTCTTGAGCGCGTCGCATCTCGCCGTCTCGCTCTCGTCGAGCACGCCCTTGATCTCCAGCTCCGCGATGTGGTTGTCCTTCTCCGTGATCAGTTCTTCTAGAATGTTCTGACTGGAAAATTATGTCAATAGTTTGACTTTATATGAGATTGGTTATGGACCTCTACTACCGTCACTTGTGGGTAGTTAAATACCCTTAAGGGTAAGACATCTCCAATCATTGGAAATACGTACAGGTGATTATTTTGTCTTCAAGCTAGAGATTTGATACAGACTTTTAACACAAAATAATTTACGTGAGATCAAATTGTTGGAGAAACCAAGAAGCTACTTTAAATGCGACTATCCAATAGCGGACCAGACACTATCTGTTTAGTCTACAACTGACAGTGTAGTGGTTGAAATGAAGGTAATACTGATGTTATACAAAGTGTATGTGGGATACTCTTAGGAATAAAACATCTACTCACACAAGGCGTGCTAAAGTGCGCAGCACGCCGTCCCTCTTGGCCCTGGAGTCGTGCACCGACGCCTCCAGCCGCTGCAAGCGCTGCAGCAGCGGCGCGCACGTCTCGCAGCTCATCGCTGAAGCGTTCTGCAGCGATCGGATCCGCTGCTCCATCTTTTTCATCTACAATATTTAAATCATTATTACCATCAGTAGTCCAGTAGAATTAGCTTTTAAATCGGAAATAATTCCTACAAAAGATTTTATTGTTTTAATGGCTTCATTGGTTGCCCATTAAGACTCTCCTGAGTTTTCGACTTCGACGGAGTTGTGCTTAAGTGGTGGGGGCCCCCGAAAGAGGCATTTTTTCGGTTTTCCAGTTATACCGCGTAAAGGACTTACCCTATCAAAAAGTGGTCTTCATGACGGTTGAAGGGCACTTAATCCTGCATTGAATAAGACCAAATTCATATGTTTTGGACAAACCGTTCTCGCGCTAAAGTTCGGCAAAGTAGAAAATATACGTATAATTAATGACCCTCTCCACGTCCAATGGTTTGTTACCCACAATCTTCCAATTCTTGAAAAGGGCCACCTCAACCAGTGTAACCCTATCAAGGCTTACGAGCTTGATGCGCCTATCCTTGTTCGTCCCAGCCGTTCCTTAACTGCGGTTGCTGCACCTCTTCCTGGCACTCACCTGAACGACTCTGTGTTACCGTGGAGAGGGTCATTAATTATACGTATATTTTCTACTTTGCCGAGCTTTAGCGCGAGAACGGTTTGTCCAAAACATATGAATTTGGTCTTATTCAATGCAGGATTAAGTGCCCTTTAACCGTCATGAAGACCACTTTTCGATAGGGTAAGTCCTTTACGTGGTATAACCGGAAAACCGAAAAAACGCCCCTTTCGGGGGCCCCCACTACTTAAGCACAACTCCGTCGAAGTCGAAAACTTAGGAGAGTCTTAATGGGCAACCAATGAAGCCATTAAAGCAAAAAAATCTTTTGTAGGAATTATTTCCGATTTAATCAATTTTTGTGTTTAATTCTACTGGCCTACAGATGATTGCCACTGCAGGAGTACTTAGTCTCCAATTTATCAGAGACAAATGGAGAATTTGTTCTACACTCCACGCTGACTAGAAGGGCATAAATTAAAGTTACAAATATAAAACAAAAACTGAGAATATACCTCTGTTAAATTACTCATTCGCAAGGATACATCATAGCTTTAATAAACTTTCAAAAAATTTGTAAAGTAATATTTTTAACTTATTCGACAGCTATCTTTATTAAAGTCAATAAAGTACATAATTACCTTTTGCAGAGTTTCAATACGCCTTTGTTCTTCTTCATAGAAAACTTTTTCTCTCTCGGCTGCAATCATAAACGATTCCTTCAAAGCGTCTTCCAACTCCAATATTCTTTTGTCTTTGTAATCAGCTATGGTCACCCCCGCTTTCTTGTTAATGATCTGCTCCAGTTCATTTATCCTTTCGTCTTTACTTCTTACCACAGCTAGAAGCTGCTCAAACTCTGCAATGTTATTATTTTCTCTCAATGCCTCTTCTAATATGGACACACATCTCTGTTGCTCAATTATCTTAGAATTCTTCACAGCTATTTCTTTCGACATTTCACTGATCTTTCTGGTCAGCTTCTGAACATTTGGCATCTGGTTTCTGTCCTGCATGCCGTCGATATCGTTCTGGCTTTTGCTGAATTTGCATTTGTCCAGCCTCTCTGCTACCTTACCACTCTTCTGCAGCTCAAAAAAGCTTTTACTTCTCTGTATATTACTCGGCTCCTGACCTTTCGAGATCTTCAGTAGCTCGGATAATATCAGCGACGATTCATTCAGCTCTATTTCTAGATCTATCACCCTCATCTTATTTTCCTCCAATCTAGATTTCAAATGATCCTTCTCTCTCAACGTCTGCGTCAGATCATTGATAGCCATAATCTCACTTTGCCTTGCTCTGCTCAAATCCTACCGGGGTTAACGGAGTTCAAAAACAAAATAAAAATTAATACAAATAAAACTCTTTTATACTTCAACAACAAAATTCAACAATATAAACTCAAAAATAACTCGAGATAGGTCAACATAGATTCAATTTTTATTATAGTTATTCGATATCTCGCATAACAAGATTGAAAGCTGGGTAACATCGACTATTTAGTGGACAACTTACTTCATCTAAATACATGTTTACTTAACAGTTTTACATTATTATTTTTTATATCAATACTTAAAAAATTTTTCCCGCTGAACACGATTACTTAATGTTTCATTAAACATCACTTAGAAATTATCGCTAAACTAATATTACTTGTGTGCTGAATACATGATCCAATTGAAAGTAACGTCTGTATATGGCCGTTGGAATCAACATTATGAATGTTATTATTATCTGAACACTTCGTCAATAAATACCGATAACATTACTTAATACGAGATTGCGATTTAGCTTATAATTGATAATTTTAATGTGGAACTGGGAGTTGCCGCTTACGGAATTTTAGTCATCGACGGTGAAAGAAAAGTAATAGAAACTAAAAGAGCAAATAAATTAACGACAGTCTTGGTGCGAAGAACTAACTTAGAAAAAGCTTTTGAGGAAGCCAGCGGGTCCGGCCTGCGTGAAACAAAGATGATGGGTTAGTCACACGTTAGTTGGTTATGGCTGAAACATGAGATGGTATTAGTAGCGTAATTGATAAAGTAACGGCCAGTTGCAGCAAGTCACTTATAACAGTACATACAGCTATAGATAATAATGTTACTGTTGAAAGACATTAATGTTTTGCAACTGCCCGTTTGAGAGTTACTTAATAAGATTTTAAAGTTAGTCAAAGATATTAGTTTCATTAGATTGGCTAAATGTTTGTAATAACTTATTGATTTAAGATTATTGATGCCATGATTAAAATGATTTGGATTTACCTCTTCTCTTTGTGCTTGTGCTTGTTGCTGACTTTTCAGTTTGGCTTGAAGGTTCCTCACAGATCTGGATAAAATAAACACATTATGAGTCATACAAGTAACATCTTACATAATGAGTTATGTCATTTCATGTTCATTTCTTCGGGTCAAAACTAAAAGTCTGTCAGTAAAATGATGATGTAGAAAATCTTGCAAGTTAAGAAGTTTTGACTCAATTCTGCTTTGTGACAAAACGATAACATTACACTTTTGGAGTTATTTATTGAGTCATCTATGTGTGCTGAACATCGGGAGAAATGAAGACAGATTGTAAAATGATCTACAAAGGACTTTCATCAAGGACACAATCTTCCAATAAAGAAAACGATTATAACAAAAAACATTATAAAGGATTAATAGAAGTAAATGAATTGAAACTTACTGTTGCAGGTCCATTATCTGCTTCTCCTTCTGCGCCTGTTCTTCCTGTGACATCTGCACTAACTGCAGCAGCCGCTCGGTCTCTGTGGTGAGGCGCTTGGCCTCCTCCTTCGTCTGGTCCAGCTGTTGTTTGAGGGTCTCTGCGTCCTTCTGTGAGTCTGTCAGCTTGCGGTTCAGGTCAGTTACCGCTGCTGTACTGCCGCCGGCCTAGAATGTTAGAAACGGAATACATTTTAGGCTCCAAATAGCAATTTTCGTAGCCATCGTTTTGCATGACACAAAATTTTCGATTTATTTATTTGGATTTAGAAAAAGAGTTTCAACAGATAGAGTTTTAAAAAAAATTAGAGGGATTACAGAAAGAACGTATGAACGTATTGTTTTTGTAATGATTGATTTGTTGTATTATGATTGTCAAACGAGTTGTGGTATGCTGTTTTTGTAGTGTATATCAACGTTCTAGGTAATTCAAAGTTTAATTAAATTATGATTCTTCATTGTATAACTAGACGATATCGTTATTGTTGTAATCACTCCAATAAAGCTTTTAAGATTTTATTGTTCTGCATGATACAAATAACATTTACAAGTATTACCTTCCTCAAAGAGGCTTCCATTTGGTCCATTTGCTCTTTTCTCTTCTTTAACTGTCGATCTAATTCCGTTAGCGACTTTTCCTTCTCTTCTATCTCTTTCCTTCTGTTCTCAACCGTTCTTCTTTGATCTTCAAACTGTTTTCTCGCGTCTTCTAATTTTTTGAATTCTTCTTGCAGCTGTCTTCTAGCTTGGGCTGTATCTTCCCCAGCTTTGGCGTTCTGAGCGCCAGCCGCTTGTAATTTCTTGTTCGCTTCGTGCAGATCGAGCTGTGATCGAAAACAGACCGTAAGAACAAAGTAAGAAGAAGCAAATTATCATAAACAAAGAGCGAAAAGTTTGACAACATATTCACAAAACGTAAGCCCTTTCAAAGCTATCTCAAAATGTATTGAGGCTCAATCAAGAAGCGAATTTTGTACACATAACTTTGCAAAATATAAAACCTTAACGCAGCTAGATATTCAATGACAAAAGTGATTCGTTTTAAAACATTTAATTCTTATGACGATGATAAATGTTGCAAATATACACAATACAGTAGCGAAATGCAGCTGAAAAAGACAAGTAAAAATAATTATTATCAAGTTTGATACATGAAGCTGCCAGTTTTGCACCCTACATTTAAGACTTGCCCGAGCGCAGATATTTGCATTCCGTTTTTTTTTTCATAAATGCGTCGTTATATTATTCATTTTACTTTTTAGAAAACCTGATTATTAATTATCACAATAAATGTTGTATGGCGTGATCTAACCGCTATTCTATTTGCTTTATTTGTCAGTGATAACGATACGATAGATCATGCCATGCAAACATATTAATATAATAATATAATGACAATGCATCGCTTGAAGCACTTGAAGATTTCGTTGAACTTAACATTGTTTCAATCTAAAAAGAGCATTACAAAAACGATCTGTGTGAACACAACATTTACAATAGTAAAGTACGTGCAAAGTTCAATAAGAAATGCTCTGTTTCGAATAAAACTGAGAAACATAAAGAATTTGCCGATTTAATTACCTTATGGGTGCTATTATCCTAAGACATTTCCTTCGTGCTTATTCATTTCGTGCGCTCGGGTCAGGCCTTTGTGCGTTGCGTTGAAATCATGATGCGAATACACGCATAGATCTTATTTTTTTGTTATCAATGCAAAACAAACTTTATGTGCTACATCGTGACTTTAATTTGGCGTACGTGCAGTCGCATCATCAGGTGCAATGCTTAAAGAATACAACATTCATGAGTTCGACGTCAAACACTTTGATGGAACTAAATATGAGGGGTTGGAGGATGCCCTTCGGGCTGTGGGAGGCATGCTACTAATACTCGACATGACCGGCGAATGACCAACAGAAACCAAATGTATGAACATCGAAATCAAAACATCTACGTTACACCGGTGCAATGATTAAGCGGACAACGCGAATGTTGTCGGTTCAATCGAGTTTCAGTCTTTTGACAATAACAATGAAGTTGTTTGTTGATAGTGACAGTCAAAACTTGATTTCGTAGGAAGTTTTAGTTCCGCAAAATTTAATTTCCAACGCCGTTTGCTAATTGGTGCAAGCAGACATAAAGCTACTCTTTGAAAAAAGACAGCCATAACGGATATTTTACAAGTAGGTAGAACCTAAATATTAGCAGTCTTTGTATCATAAACACTTGTGTCAGCTGGTGCTTTAACACTTACAAATATTATTATTAACGCTGCATCTAAGTACCGTAAAGTGAAATCTGCATCACTGTCTGAAAATCACTCACTAACATTTCACATTATAATTTTTTTTATTCACTCGTACTTAGGGACCACAGTACAAAGGACAATGACCAAAAATGTATGGAGTGTGGTCCAAATGTCCACCACTAACGAGACCTATAGTAAAATAGTCTACTAAATACTGATTTATTATAACCAAACCGCAATCAAAAATATGCTGTCAGTAAAAAGTTATGACTGAATGAAAAGTCATGTTTTTTACCTTTTCATCCGAAAAATGTTCTTGATATCATTCTATCCATCGCACATTTTGGATTAATCTATGCATTTATGTCATGTCGTTTAGTGTGCCGTGTTAGATTCTTGCTAAAAGAAAAAAAAATAAGCTCAGAAGAAAGACAACAATATTGGAATTATGGTCGGGTGGTCGCTGCTCCGCCCCTATCGGTTGTAGGGTGATGTTATATAACCTTAAACCATCCTTGATAAATGGGCTATCCATAACAAAAATATTTTTTCAAATCGGACCAGTAGTTCCTGAGATTAGTGCGTAAACTACTACAATTTTTCATACGGTCATAACTTTTTACTGACAGCTTATTTTTTTTTCGTCCCATACTGAAAGTTAATCTCTATTTAATGAACTATAAGCCAATATAGGTCTCATTAGTGGTGGACATTTGGACCACTTTTGGTCATTGTCCTTTAGTCAAAAGTTTCATAGTATTTTGTCAAAAGCTAGATTATGTTAATTAAGTATAAGAAGGAATTGAGATTATGTATTAAGTAATCTTTGACCGTGAAGTGAATTTTATGAAAATCAAAGTTTTGCCACCAATTTCAAAATATCCAAATAGCATTTTAAAATAAAAAACAAAACTCGATTCAACCCCGCATTGCCGTCCCGCCAGCCGCTCTCGGCCGGGCTATCCTCCAACTGACCTGGCTCTTTTCCAACTCCTGCACAAGCATCTCCAGCTGCGCCTGGCACCGCTCGCGCTCCGTGGCCAGCGAGCGCGCCTCGCCTTGAGCCGCTTCCAGCTGCTTCTGAACCTCGCGCACGTCCGACGGCCCGCGCGCTTGAAGCTGCTGCAACTGCTGCTGTTGCGCATGGAACTGCTTCTCTAAACTCTGCAAGCGCTGCTGGCATTCCGACAGCGCTTTCTCTGCTGCGATCGCCTTCATCTTCTCCGCTTCGACCGCCGCTCGCCATTTATCGAGTTCCCCGACTTTTTGAGCCTCTTTCTCCGCCTTCTCGGCTCGCTGTCTGATCATGTCTCTCTCCTTCGCCGCCGCTTGGACTTGCTGCTGCAGTTTAACGATCTCTCTCTCCCGGTTTTCAAGGACTGCCTTTGCACCCCGCTCCGTGTCTTGTGCCATCTTTCTCTGCTCCTCCTTCAGACGACGAACCTCCTCACGCTGCTTCTGCAACTCCGCCTCCGAAGAGTTCAGTTCCCTCTGGAAATTCACAAGCATATCCTGTGACTTCTCTAATTGAGCTACGAGTTGATCGCGTTCGATAGTCAACTGTTTTGTGTCCGCTTCCAATTTCACGATTTGCTTTTCTATTGCGTCCGCCTGTTTATCTCGCTGTTCTAATATGGACGCCATTTTTTCTCTGTCTCGCACTGATTGGGCAAGTTCTTGCTGAAGTTTCACTAGAGTCTCCTGTGTTCGGTGGTCCAATGTTCTCTGTTGTTGTTCCACATTGCGTCTCGTGTTCTGTATTTCTGCTCTCAGTGCATCTCTTTCTTGTTCGATCTGTCTCATTTCTAGGATAGTACGTTCAAGGCGCTCGTGCATTCTTCCTAACTCGTTCGTCATTCTGTCGTACTCTACTCGAGTAGTTTCGTTTGTTTCCTGATACTTAGCTAGATGCATCTGAGACTTTTCAAGTTCCTTTGCCAGTCGACCTGCTTCCATTTCTGTAGAATCTCTCGCTTGAATTGCTTTTTCGAGTTTGTCACGAAGACGTTCGATTTCTAGTCGATCCTCAGTTCGCGCCTTGTCTCCGGCCACCGCTTGCAACTTCATCCTTTCGATCTGTTGCAACTCGCCCTTAAGTCTTTCATTGTCTTTATCCAGCTGTTCTGACCGTAACTTAAGCTTCTCACACCTATCTCTGAACTTTTCACACTCAATATGAGCGCGTTCAAGATCAGTCCGCTGCTTCTCTAACGCCCCACTCAGTTTCGTCACTTCGCTCTTCGACAACTCCAGTTGTATATTCAGTTCGTGGAGTTTCGTCTCTGCTTGTTCCTTCTCGGCTTGCATGCGCTGGACTTCGGCCTGCGACGCCTCGAAGCGTTCGCGGAATTTGTCGAGTTCCGCCTGCATTCGGTTCAGTTCGTTAGTCCACTTGTCCTGTTCAAATTGGTATTTACCTCGGAGGCCCTCGACGCGTTCCAACTCAGAGCGCAGCCGCACAACCTCCTCGTCGGCCTTCCTCGCTCGCTCCAGTTCAAGCGTGGTCTTCTCTAGCCGCGTGCGAAGGCGCTCCACCTCCAGTTTAGTCCTCTCATGCTCTTCCTTCGTATCGTGGTACTTTCCGTAGCGCGCCGCGTACCTCTCCGCCTCTTCTCTCGCCCCGCTTGCATCTTGCTTCACCTTATCCAATTCCGCTTGCACTCTTCTCATCTCAGCCGACACTTTGTCATGTTTATCGTACATCTTTTCAAGCTCGATCTGAACTCTGGCCATTTCTTCTTGAGTCTTCTCGTTCGACGCCTGCGCTTTACCACACTGTGTCATAGCTCGGTCATACTCAAATTGCAACCGTTCGTTATCCGCAACCAACTTCTCCTTCTCGGCTTGGAGCCTTCTCAACTCGATCTGACTCTTCTCATACCGTTCGCGAACCATTTCGATATCAACATGCAGTCTGTCCATGTCTTCCTTAGCCTTTTCTTCCTGTTCTTTGGTCCTGCCCAGTTGCAACGATGCCCTGTCGTACATTTCCTGTAATCTAGCCAGTTCGTCTTGTAACTTTCTCTGATCTTCCCTCGATTTCGTGGATAAGTGTACTTGTTTTTCCAGTTCGAGTTCGATGCGGTCTTTGTCGGCTTCCAGAATGTCTATCTTGTTTTGCAGTCGGTAGATTTCGTTCTGAGACCTGCAACAAGGAATCGAGACTTAATAGTTAAGAAATTACAGTTGTTTTTCGATCTACGGACAATAACATCGCCACCAACACAAGACGACATCCAGAACACAAAGTACCTATCATACTTTTCGAGCATTTTTTCGTATTCTTTGTGCGCGGTCTCTTTCTCCTCGATGGTCTTCTGAGTGGAGTACAGGGCCTTGTCGAGTTTCTCCTTTAATATTTCTAGCTCCGTCAAAGCATCATCTCGCTCCATCTGAAACATAAAAAATAGTATATTGCAACCTTTAATAATACTTTGGTATTATTACAATCATACATCATTTGGGACCTTTTAGACACTTTATACATAGACGAATAAAACTGTTACAAAAAATCTGTTAATCCAAAAATAGCACGCAGATGTAGGAGTTATACAAGTTTATGTGGAGTGGATAGGTCAGTAAAGTTTCAATAAATAGTTATCTATTGACCAAAAAGTATGGAACAGCAGATTTTTCTCGCTGTCAGTATAGTAAAAGTTGTTCATAATTTGTGAAGTAACCCTTGTAGGCTTCAGTAAAAAGTAACCCTAATTAAAGCACTCACAGTAAGTTTCTGGTGCTGCTGGTGCGCCTTCTCCCATCTCTCCCTCAGCACGTCCAGCTCAGTGGCCGCGCTGTCTCGGTCCCTGGCTGCCCGGTTTGCGGCAGCAGCGGCCGCTTCGGCTCTCTCGCGGCAGCTGGCAGCTTCGGCAAGAGCGGCGTCCCTTTCTTTTTGGATGCGAGCTACGAGGGCCTGGAAGAGAGGAGGAAAGAGTTTAGTGATTTGGGTAAGAGAGGATTGCTATGGGATGGTTTTGAAGACATTATGTTAAATAGTTCTAGGGTTTTTGATGGTATAGATAAAAACGTGGCTTACACTACAACTCCTGTATAATTAGGATCTACAACTCCACGATCTCCAATGAAACCTAATAAAAGGGTAGGTATAGACTATAGTGGGAGATGTTTATTCGTGTTGCTAAAATTACTTAATAATGCAGAGTTTAAAACTGAATATGTCTATCTATCCAAATTATAATCCAAAACAAAATATATAACTTCTTATGTTTACCCAGAAATTCACAAATACACACGAACGTTCACTTGAAATCTGGTAAAGTCATAACCGAAGAACCGTCATAATGGTCAAGAAGAAGGGCTAAAGTACCTATTCCAAGAAGTTTGGCAAGTTTGCCCTATACTAGTATGTAGTTCTAACTAAGTAACAACTTTGGTAACAATAAAATCATCCTATATCTGTCTGTAGGAACTCGCAGAAACTCTTAAGTTAATAGACACGATATTCGATTATTTTCCAGTAAACAATCAAAGGATTTTGTGGTGCAGAATCAATGGGCCGAATATTGGTAATACTTTTAGTGCTAACTTTCAGAATTGTATGAAAAACTAGCGGCCGCCCGCGACTTCGTACGCGTGGATCCCGTTTTACTCCCTTAGGGGTGGAGTTTTGTAAAATCCTTTCTTAGCGGATGCCTACGTCATTACAACTACACCCAGATGCGTCCAGTGGTTTGGGCCGTGCGTTGATAGATCACTATGTCAGTCAGTCAGTCACCTTTGAGTTATAAAATAAATATTTAGATTTAGTTACTAAGATTTAAGAAATGCGGAGGACCGTTTTCTTAAAAAAACTGTTTTGTAGGTAGTTATCTAAGCTAATAAATCAAGTAAGTGTCTAAATCCCGTATTAACTTATCTACACTGGGACCGCAAAGAAAAAGGGTTGGATAGAAAATCTTAAAAAGTATCTACCTGACCTAGAAGCATAAGGGTGTGACGTTTTTTAAGGAGGGTTTTCTGGAAAGTCTAATAATATGATTTTTCAAAGATTGATATCTCGGGGAGTTTTTTATGCTACCGAAGTCATTCTTTCACCATTATTTCCATCATATTGGATGTCCATCATAGTAATAATTTTATTCTTCCTAGGAACATAAAAATGTAGATAGGTTAGCCTCTACTGCCTGCCTAAAGAACACACAATTCATCCTTTGTCCCCGTTCTAGTACACGATTTGACAGCTCAAGTTTACCTTGATATCTTCTGCCTTTAGTCCTTGAGAATAAGGGTGAAAATTCTACGTTTACTATAAAAGAAACTATTGGCACTGTTCCATATAACTTCGTGTCGGAATCAATTGTTTATGGTCGGGGTTGCTGAGACCATAGATAAATGCTTGGTACTTCATACATAAGTTATTTTATCTATAGTAAGTTAGCACCAAAGCATAGAGTTGAGGGTTCAGAATTATATCATAGGGTGATTTAGGCATGAATATAGAGAAAACAAATTAAAAGAATTCGAATGAGGACGAACCTTCATAAATAATAGATTTTGAATTTTATGACGATCTAAAAAAAGTTAAAAATTAAATTACTTTTGTCGTTTTTTTATGTATTTTTTTGTGCTGGAAAATGAGTAGATTGATACAATTAATTTGTGTGAGTTGCAAATCTTATGATTCAAAATTAATTTTAAGGCAAAAAACGACCTTTTCGTTATCTCTATGTAATATAACACCAAGGTAAGAAAGTAGTTACCAGGGTCTATTCATAAAAAACCTCAACTTATCAGTATATTATACGAAATCTTATTAGTTTCCAACTCGGTCAATGGATCCCGACATATCAGCGCGAACAAGCAAAGTATTATAGGAAAAGTTCGTGCAATGGAAACATTACTAAAATAACTCGGAATAACTCGGCGTTTATGGAATATGGAAAGTTCCAGACAGTGGTAGGATTTTGTACTATTTTCTTAACATGATATGAAAGTACAACATACTATGTAGTTTTGATTTCATTTCCTCCATTTATATTACGAGCCCGCAGAATCGCTAAAATCAAGTGGCAGTGGGCGGGGCAGCGTCTTTCCGTTCTATACATGGCCAGAACGCACCCATAGGAAACTGCTCGTGTATATTTCGGAGTGCCTGTTTGTAAATCTGTGACTCCAAACTATACACGAATTTTGCGTACTGATCGTGTATAGTTTGGAGGAGCTTAGTAAAAAAAGTCATCTCCAAACTATACTCGATTAGTTTCACACCCTTGCGTTCTGGCTATGTATAGAATGGAAAGACGCGGCGGGGCACATAGCTCGAAGAGCTGATGGCCGCTGGGGCAGGAAAGTTCTTGAGTGGCAACCACGAGCTGGAAGACGTAGCGTGGGCAGGCCTCCCACTAGGTGGACCGACGATCTGGTAAAGGTCGCGGGAAGTACCTGGATGCAAGCGGCGCAGGACCGGTCTTTGTGGAAATCCTTGGGGGAGGCCTTTGTCCAGCAGTGGACGTCTTTCGGCTGAAACGAACGAACGAACGATATTACGAGCATTTATTGACGGGCACAGAGCCCTTTTTGGTGAGCTCGTATTTCTGTTTTAGTTTAGTTTATTCATCATTTCAGCCTATGACTATGACAGTTCACTGCTGAAAACACCCAAGGAAAGACACGAAGCACGTTCGTTTCAGCCAAATGACGTCCACTGCTGGACAAAGGCCTCCCCCAAGGATTTCCACAAAGACTGGTCCTGCGCTGCCCGCATCCAGGTACTTCCCGGGACCTTCACCAGATTGTCGCTTTTTCATCAAGCTGCTGCGAAATACACCTACTTTCTAGTTTATAAATGTTTCTTCTCCTCTATCTTTGGCATCGTAGAACAGAGTTAATTTTTTCTAACAAATCCTTCGTTCTTTTCCTCATGGATCGGCTCTACAAAAAAGTCTTCACTAAAAGGTTTTACTCTGATTTGTTTATCCAGCCTTTGTCCTTTTTCCATTTCTATTTCCACACTATCCAATCACAGCAGGGTCATGTATTAAATTATAAATGAGTTGGTACCAATTTGTTTCTAACCGAATGACAGCCACTGGCATAAGTTATTCACTGCCTGGCTAGTCTAATAATACTGAATTGCAATACAGGACCGTATTTTGAGTGCCGAAAAGACCGGTTAAAATAATGGAAACTTGCTGAAGAGAAATACCGGTTAAATTACGAGTAATGGAATATTGCTGAAGAGAATTATAATGAGAAATGTTTAGGGTGTTTCACCCTGTATATTTTAAAGTTGCCCTTTAATAAAAATGAACGTCACAATATAGCAATAAACGTTAAATTGAGGGCTACACCGATAAAAATAAATTACTTTCTTCCCCTTAAAAACTATGACTCTATAAGGTGATTAATTATTTATGAGATTTCGATGTTTGTCCCATTTAAAAAGGCACAATAAAACAACCGCTTTACATCGAAGAGATTTTTCTCATATTTTTAAGTTACCTACTTGTTCACTAAGTAATCATAATTATCATCATCAGTTTTACTTATGGCAGCCCACTGCCTGATCAGTCGCTTATTTCATACAGCGTACAACCACTATCACCTGACTCTATAAAACCATCGGTCCATCGAGCAGTGGGGCGTATCCTACACCCACTAATACATTCACTCATTAATAATTCCCTGTTGCAAAGAGAGGGTAGTTAAATAATTCAAGGCTTTATTTTTGGACTTAACAAAAACAGTTTCCAGTAACTGAGCGTTGGATGTGAGATGAATTTATAATTAGATAATTATGGAATGGGGCTACGTGGGTATATTAAGCTTAAGTTACTGTACATAACGTTATTGTTTTAACTCTGGTATTATTATAACATTTTGACGTCAAAATTGGGCTTTACTTTAAGCTTACAGACGGCAGCCAGATCTAGTAACAATGCAATATTATCATAGAGCTGACGATGGAGTTGGAAGAAAAACTGTATTTTTACCTTGTAATATTTTTTTCCTTTATAATTTTCCATTTTAAAAACAACAGAAACATCGGTAAACCTATCGATTTTTTGCGTTGTAAGCCTGTACCTATGGTATTTTTGCAGTTTCGGCGTTCTTCTTAGCTCTTGTCATAAGTTTGGGTCGGAGCGCTAAGATTAGTTAGTATAGTTCTTTACGTTTTGAGTGCCAAATCTTGATTAAAACTGGAGTAAAGACATTTATTTTCTTTTCCTATAAAATCGCCACTCGAAACAGATTGAACTCGCATTTTTACTGTATCTTGAGTGCACACTGGAGTGTTGATCGAAGCAACGACCAACGTATTTATATTCGCTGTAAACCCAGTCTAGACGCGCCGTCGCCGGCTGCCCTACTTGGCATGACGCCTTGTTAAGACATCGCGTTTTATGCTCTTTGTCCTGTGTAACACTGGGTTTGAGAGATCGCTTCCTATCGATAAAACTGCCTAAATTTTGCTGTTTTTATTTTGTATTTTAGTTTTAGTTTTGTGTGGTGTGCAACAGATAGTTAATAGTAAGAGAGCTTTACTACTTCCAAACTTCAAAACGAAATTCGGATCTACAAAAAAATAAGGGGACTATTCCACCTCTCGTTCCCACCGCTGCAACTCCTGTGTAGCCAGGATCTACAGCTTGACCGCCAGTAAAAACCCAACCAGTGAAGGTCAAGTTAGAAAACACAAGAGAAATCGGATGACGGAAATCGGATCTAAAAATAGTTCCACGGCTAGTACTCCGGAGTATTTTCGCGGATTGAAATTAGACGTAGAGACACCGCTCTTACTGTTTAGTTGCTTTCTTTCGATTTTGAGCACTACTACTTTCTTGTCATCTCTATGAAGTCAATATTTATCATCATCAGCCTAAATCAGTCTACTGACATAGACCTCTCCTTAAATGCGTCATCTACCCTTATCTTCACTGACATAAACCTCCCCTTAAACACATCATCGATCTTTGTGTCTTCTATCGCATCCAGTTTCTTCCAGCGACTATTCCCAAGTTCCCACTCCAATTTCCCAAATTGGCTATAACTAGGAAACCGTTAAGGATACATCTTCTTTAAATATTAACAGTCCGCTCCGCTCCAATTTTATTTACGGCAGCAACAGAACTTTATTTATATCCTGGTTCAGTTTCCTATTCGATTGAAACTCAGAATACGGAACAAACCAGAAACCGTCAACGGGCGTAAATGTGTATTCATATAAAGTACTCCAAATCGCACTAGTTTGACTTTAGAGCAATCAGTCAATGGCCGGCGCGCGCATTGTTTACATATCCGTCAGATTGACACTTTATAATTAAATTATGCCGTCTTGTGCCGTTCCAACATGTAAGAATGCTACTGGAATTACGAAGAAAGTGCATGGGATCATGTTTTATCCGTAAGTAGCACATTTCCAATTCATTTTAATTAAATAATAATTTTCAAAAAAAATCACGGTCGTATTTTGTAAGTGTTGCCACAGGTCAACGGAATATTTTACCCTACTTTTTTATATTGAATTACATTTGTCTACTTATAAAAAATTCACGCGTTAATTTTGTTAGCGTTACCACAGAATAATGGAATATTTTCCCCATCCTTTTTGTTTTAATTAGTTTTTAGTGTAATTTCATCCATGACATGACAACCTGATTAATTAAATTATAAGTGCCACTTGTGGTCTAAACTGAATAAATATTTTTGATTTTGATTTGATTTCAATATATTGAATTAATTTATAATATTACTCCCTAATAATGAGGAGATAATAAATTACTATCGTGAATTTCATACTTTCCCATTTATTCAAAAGTAAGGCATTGGTATCAACAGATCAGCAGCAGCAATATTTGTATATTTAATAATAATTTTAAGTAATTAATTATTGCTTACATACTTACTCTGATTTTCTTTCAGGATACACAGCCAGAGTTGCCTCGCAATCAAATTTAAGTATTGGTGATGTTTTTGATTTGGATTCTGTTTTTGACTCCAAGAAAAGTTAAACTAAAAGCACTACTGCGCCGTAAACAAATGTTTTGTTGTCGATATGTTTACATAATAAAGAACCTTAAGTTTCTTTTTTGTTTTACTTGGCATTCTAAAATGTATATTCGACTTTTGTAATTGACTTTTAAATAACATATTATACCTACATATAGTATATTACACTATTTAATAGAAATAAATAATCATCTACACTTAGTTACTTCGGAGTAAAAATTAAATTCATAGGTAGGTAGGTACTATCTATGCCTATGGCCAGTCATGTCGTCTCGTTCTATCGCAAAGAATCACCATTTGATAAGAGCGAGAGCAAAAACGGAAATGGATAGTTAACACTGGCCGTGTGTACTTATTTCACTTACTTATTTTTTACTTGTTTAACATCTCTTTAAAAAATTACATAATTTTACCCCAAAAATGGGGGTGTCACACGGCGCTAGTAACACTAAAGGGGGTAGAGGGGCGCGGGAGGGGAAGTATTTTGGACACAAGTTGCCGCGTAGAAATGTTATCGAACACTCCTTCTGGTTTGTTCTGTATTCTGAGGATTGAAACATAAAGAGCTAGCTTGTTTATAGTACATACCAGACAGGCTGGCGCTAGACTTAGCATGTTTCGTATTGTCCTAGCTCGAAATAGAAGGCAGCAGCCCCCCTAGACAAAACGCACTTTTTGATCAAAACTCCATACAAAAAAGGGGCTTTTCGACCACTTTTCGACTGGTTGGTTTGCGATTATAATTTGCACTTTGTCTAGCTAGACCCACAGGTTCATTATTTAAAGAAATACTCGTCAATTTGACAGCATGTAGTTTCTCTGCAAGTAGGTATTCTCATTCTCATTTTCAATCATTCCTAACGCCTCTATGTTTTTACCTAATACTTATAGATGACCCACGCTGAACTGTCCCACCAAACTCAATGACAGGGGGGCGCTACCATCGTTCAACTATATGGTTTCCAACATGGCAAAAATCTGAACCAGCGATCCGGTATTGACGGTGGCGCCCCACTGTCAATGTCATCGACAGGACAGTCCAGTATTTTGGAACTATAGTGCATTAGATTGGACTGATGACAGAGGTCATGGGCTTAATAAGAGTGTGATGGTTACCAATTTAATTAAGACAATGTATGTTTGATCGTCCTCTACTTTCTTTCTGTCTCCTTAGTATTTTAGGATTGGAATATGGAATAAATGTCTATGACTATTGTGTCTATCAGCTTGCAACCATGTCCAATCATTGCCCGTTTAGTATCGCAATATTTTGTCTGCTATTAATTTCTCGTGTTTCAGGATAGGTAAGAATGAAGTTTCCCGACTCTTATCTAGCAGTATTTCGTAGTTGCAGATGCTGCACCAATTTGTTTTTGAACTTAAATTGAGTGGCATTTCTGACTCTTTTCCTTTAATAAGCCAGCAGACTTAATGCGGCTCTGGTTTTCTCGCCAAGTTGCACTATCTTTGTTTAACATTTTATTTTAAGGCTATTTTGGCAAGCTTTGACGCTGATATGTTTGTAAATGTGTAGATAGGCTTGTTTTTTTTGGAAATTAGTAATTTTCCTACCATACTAGAAAGATAACACGGGCGTCAAGCCAAAGGGTCGTCTAGGCAAGGTTTAGGGGTGGTTGGTCATGACGTTTCGTCATCGCTATTTAAATTTTAATGAGCACTAGCAGCCCGCCCTGGCTTCACCCGGTTGCAATGGGATTTCCCGGCTTTTCTCTTCTATAATATTCATGTTTTATACCTATAAACCTTCCTCTTGAGTCACTCTATCTATAAAAAACCGCATAAAAATCCATTGCGTAGTTCTAAGGTCTAATCATACATAGGGACAGACAGCGGACTTTGTTTTTTGCTACTCGTATGTAGTGATTATACCCATAGTACATTTCTCGCGTTTCTTTCTCCAACAATCACATCTATTACATAGTCCCTAACTTTTCCAATACAATACTTATTACCACTTATAAAGCCATAAATTCCTCATCACAAACAGCTGAACTGGCCGATCGCTAATTATTGCCTTCATTACCGGTTACAGCCTCTAAAACGGTAGTTAATACCGCCGTAACAGCAGTTAAGTTCATTTGCGTACGATTAGCATAATCCGGTCAGTTGTGATCGGGGATTCTGTGTTAGAACAGCTGGGAGCAGGGTTGCCAGGTCCAAAACACAAAATTTGGCCGGAAGTTTTACTTTCATCGTCATCATTTCAGCCATAGGACGTCCACTGCTGAATATAGGCCTCCCCCAATGCTTTCCATGTTGATCGATAGCGGCCTGCGTCCAGCGCGTCCCTGCTACCTTTATGATGTCGTCAGTCCACCTTGTGTGTGGACGTCCCACACTGCGTTTTCCGGTACACGTCCTCCATTCCAGAACCTTGCTGTCCCATCGGCCGTCAGTTCTGCATACTATGTGCCCTGCCCATTACCACTCCAGCTTGCTAATCCATCGGGCTGTGTCGGTCTCCTCATTTCTGATTCGATCTCGTAAAGGAACACCGAGCATAGCCCTTTCCATAGCACGCTGTGCAACTTTACATTTTACTTTAAAAGCCGGACATTCATTCGTACAACCACCCCGCCAGGCTTGAATACGCAAGAAATAAATTTTTTGTCCTTTTTTGGTGTCCTCCGAGGCCCTCAATACGTTAGCTCATAAGGCCCTGCAGCCATGGACAGGAGAATTTGGCCGGACACGTCCTTAAAAGCCAAACATGTCCGACTAAAGCCGGACACCTGGCAACCCTAGCTGGGAGCCAATAAAGATTTGTTAACGTTATCACGGTACGGGCTGACCAAACAAACGGTAGTAACGAGATCTTTGGTAGAATATTAATGCTAATCAGAATAATATTATGATTCTCAGCTGATATGAGTGAGTGAGTATTGAAACATTGCGCGTTTTTAGGTTTAGGCTCAATTTCTCATATGACTGTTGGTATAGGTAATACGACGTTAAAACTAACGACCTTTAAGATCGTACATTCAACTTTTTCGTCGAAATTCATACATTACCGTAGTTATTGTCTCAGAGATCAACCCAATATATTTTTTTAGCTACAGCATTGCTTACCTCATGGGACAACACATTCGATATTTGCATTAAAAATAAGCATCAGAAGTAGGTAATTCCTAAATGATACACAATTGTAAATAAAGAGATAATGACCTCATTCTGGATTCAAATGTACGGTCGACAGCACATCAGACTTTACATTTTCGTTGCAAAGTCGTCCCTATCGCAACTGCGTAAGATACTACAGTGTTTATGTTGACGTGCTGTCGACTGTATCTAGCTGTTCAAATTCCTAAGAAGACCATTCACTTCTATCGTTACTGCTAGGTATGCTATTACAACTCTTGTACCACCACATTCACCAAAAAAAGTTACAAGAAAGAATCTGGAATAAACCTGGTAAAAAACTCCACTTACTTGAGCCTTATCATGCTTGTCCCGGAACCGGTCAGCGTCTAATTGGGCCGTGTCCCGTTCCTTCTGGAGCCGCGCTGCCTGTCCCAGTGCCTTGTCCAACTGGGACTGGAGGGACTCGAAGTCGTACGCTTGCTTCTCGCGGTCTACTTGCAGCTGTGGAGTGATATAATGTATTAATTTGAAATAGAATTGACGCTTTAGAATGAGGAGGGACAATCCGAAATTAAATAGGAGAAGAAGAACACGAATGATTTGAGTGAGTGAGTTAGAAGAGTGAAGGGTCCGAATTGGGTTCCAGAATAGGCAAGTTTTAGTAGTAGATAATACTCTTCATTTTAGTTTCAGTTATACTCATGCTTTACTTTATCAATAGATTCTTTATCCTACTATCAAAAGCGAAACAAAAAATCATATAAAATAACTTTGTAAAATGATTCTCAGTATTGATATAAATGATTCATCATCATCAGGCCATTTATTTTCTACTGCATTTCCATTTCCCCAGAGGAAAATGGAGGATTTGGCCTAGACGAGTAGGGGAGGATTTAATAATTATCCAACAGAAGGCAATAAAAATACTTAAAAATTTAAAACAGATGGAAGTAGAATGTCAAAAGCTCACCTTTCTATTCTCAACGGCAGCCTTATCCAGCTTCTCCTGGACCTTGTCTATCTCAGAGTGCGCGGAGTCGAGCGAGGCCTGCAGTTTGTCCTGCTGCAGTTGGGCCTTGCCCAGGGTTGCCTGGGTTCTTTCCAGCTCCTCCCTAGCTTTGTCCAGCTCGGCTATGGCTTTGTCTCGCTCGGAGTGCAGACGGCTTATTGATGATTGGAGTCTGGTAAGGAAAATGTCGTCTTAGTTGCTTCGAAGGATTATTTAAATTATTTAGATTAATTGATACCACGCGTTCGAATTACGTCGAAGATTTCTATGTACGTACACGTAGATAGGCTGGTCAGACTCAAAATTAGTCGAATTATAACACAAGTGCGAACTTGAAATCTGCTTATTGTATGATGATAAAGTATTCCGTTTCTATCAAATGAAAGTAAAGTATTTCAAACGTATTGTTTTTCAGGGTAAAATACATTTTAATTAGAGTTGTGCTTTGGAATTTTTGGGGAATGGTGTCAACTACTCAATTAAAAAATATCTGCAGCGATCAGTAGTTCTTAAAACTGTTGAGGTAAAATATTGCGATTATAATTGTTTGGAATTATAAAACTAGTTATAAATTAACTAGGTAGTTAATTTCTGTTTCGTGACTTGTCACGAATTTTTTTCGGCTTTAATAATAATAAAGTAACTTTACCTCATTAGGGGAATTTTGGATCAATTTTAATTGGCAGTCTCGACGCTAAACTTTCCTAATTAGCGGGAACTTTGAAGTTTTTATGGCTTAAAGTATCTTCTGTCACATTCACATAGCCAGCAAGAATGCGGTGATTTAAAATTGGTAGACTTGACATTTTTGCTGTCCTAATTTGATGAGAACGAATTGCCCCACTATCGTCATGCTATCCTTATAACGACTGAGTCAGAGGCTTAAAACCTTTACTAACAAAACTACGATAGTATAACTTACCGATCGTATTCTTCCTTGAGACTGTCTTGTTCAGTTTGTGCATTCTCAAGCTTGGCCTTCAGACGGTACACTTCGCCTTGAGACTTCTCCAACTTGTCCTGAAGTCCACTAGCCTCAGACCTGGCTCTCTCCGCATCCGCTTGAGTCACTCTCAGCTCGGCCAAAGTTCGTCTCAACTCTGCTGCATTCTTATCAGCTTTCTCTTGCACCCTGTCTAGTTCCTGTGAGGTAGTCAACGTGCTTCTTCCAAACGTAGTCTGCGATCTTTCGAGCTCGTGCTTAAGCCTCTCGTTTTCAAGCTCAAGTCTCGCCAGGCGCTGCTTCGCTGCCTCCCAATCAGCACCAGATCGACCCACTTCACTTGCAGCCTTATCTAGCTCTGCTTTAGATTTCCCAAGCTCAGATTGAGAGCTCTCCAGCTTAGCTTCAAGCCTATCCTTCTCAGCCGAAGCTCTCTCGAGTCTCGCACCAAGTTTTTCGACTTCACTTTCAAGGGCGTGCAGTTTCATCTTATACTCAGCTAGCTCTCTCTCGTGTAGCTCTCTTTCTTCGGTCTTCTCATGTTCCGCTCTGTCGCGTTGTTCTCTCAATTGCTGTATTTGCTTCTCTTTATCTCCGATGACTTCTTCTAAGGATGATAGGGCGCCTTCGGAGGAACAGTGGTGGGCTTGCATGGCGTTGAGTCTAGCTCGTGCCATGTCTACTTGGTTGTCCTTTTCTTTGAGGAGATCTTCGAGGTTTTCGATCTGAAAATGATGTCCACTATTAATTACTACACCAAACTCTAGGAGCATAAAAATAAAAACAAAATGATAAAAAACAAAATAAACATACCTTCAACAGAGATAAATCAATAACACCAACACAAATAGCCAACTTACAGAAAAAATAATAACAAAATCACTAGCACTACACAACAAAACAAACAAATCTTGAACACAAAGTAAATATTAGGCCAAAGGCGCCATTAATCTTTTTTATTCCATCCCAGTATTGTTGTATCTCCCAATAATATTCCAGATCAAAACATCCATCATAAGTTAAAATCTGTATTCAGATTTATTGGTTCCGATGGTGACCCCATTGCTTTAGTTGGGAGTTCTATAAATGAGAGTTCGTTTGATCTAAACTATGTCGACGATTCAACACGGTCCAGGGGAAATTGATTGGAAAACTTTACAGCTCAGGTATACAGAGTGGGGTTATTAGCTACCGGCATTAACTTACCTTCTAACAAACTTTTATTATTTTGAAATGAAATGATGAAGACGGTATACGAACTTCCAGAACGTAACCGTCAAATGTACAGATGGAAATCTCCGCGCAAAAAAGGAAGGTCAGCCCCCGAAATGGCAAAAAGTGACTATGGTAATTTCGCTAGGCCTTCCGTTTTTTTTTCTATTGAGCTACATTTTGCTCCGTGAAGAGATTCCATTTTGGGAGCAATCAAAAAGTGATACTTTTCTAGGGTCCCAGGTTTGGTCACGGATTTTAACGAATATTATGAAAATTCCATATTATGCTATGTAGGAATAAGGGTAAAATAAATATTACGCTATGAAAGAAAACAAATAAAATAATAATAATAAATAAATAATATCCTTGGACATTTTACACTGCGCTTCTAGTCCAAAACTAAGCAAAGCTTGTACTATGGGTACTAGACAACGGATATAAACATACTTAAATACTTTTTTTTTGTTAATACATACATATTATACATAGAAAACACCCAGTCTAATACAAATAAATATGTTCATGCACACAAATGTTTGTACTGTGCGGGAATCGAACCTGCAACCTCCGGAATAGTAGTCCGTTTCGAACCACTACACCAAACGGCCGGCAATTAATAGGATAATTTACTACAGATACTTAAATAAAAATGATCACATACGAGTACACGTAAATAAATATGTATTTAATAACAGTAAATAAAATAGTAAACGATATAGGTAAACACAGTTCTCCGAAACAAATCACAACAAAAAACATTATTCAATTACAAATACCTTTTCGCATAAACAACAATTTATCTTAGGGCAGATTTTCCAATCGTCGTATAATATTTACCTACTGAAGAATAAAGTCTGACACATTGACAGTTTCAGTATGGGAAATTATGTCAAAATAACAAGTTTATCTACACTTAAAAGTTAAGTAGGTACCTAATATGAAGATTGTAAGATCAGCAATGGCTGATCACTAAGGAGTGAAAATAGTCTAATAATATTCTTGTAAATGTAAGAAACTTCCGAACCCAACCGTAACTTATCTTCAGTTTCGATTCGAAACTTTCGAATATTTATGACAATATCCAGACACTTATGCTAAACGATGTCTGAGATAATCGAGATATTTTAACTGAGATCAAGTCCTTAGAAGCTTAATCGAGAACGATGAATCGAAAATCAATAGACTCGCCTGAGAGAAGGCAAACAAAGTCGGTAAATAAGCTACTGCCTCTTACGCAACGGAGGAGATGGGACGAAAATATTTTTGTACTTCTGTAATAATATCAGGTGCTCTATGAATATTCATATTTTAAACATGAAGTAAATAAATTATACGATATCTATCAGTTAATACAATTTAAATACCTAAGGTGGGAATCGAACCCACGACCTTTATCTTGCCAGACAATTGCTCTTCCATCTGAGCTACTTAGACACCGGATGAACCCATCGCGGGTTCGATTCCCACCTTAGGCAGTTAAATTTTTAAAGTTACTTTAAGAAAATATTTTTTTTCTTTATAAAGTGTGATTAATAGTTTCATATTAACTTGATACACAATACGGCTCTAGTCATTGCAATTATGTATCTATCTTTATCTAAGACAGTGTATTTTATTCCAGAGTTATTCGTGTCATTGAGACAACTGGAAATAATTCTCTAACATAACTCAATTTTCCTGACTTTTCAGGACGTTTTTATCTGTAGTTCAAGCTATTTTACATATTATTTCAATCATAAAGTGAATGGCTATAAAATTATTTGTGCTTCAATCTACTTAGTACACAGGTATCTTCCTCAGAAGTATACCTTTTATAGCATTCTCTAGCTCTTGTTACTCTATCTATCACAGCAAATCAGTCTACGATTTTGAACTTTGCATCGTTCACCCAAGGTTTACCTTTCTTTGCAGCACGTACCTTTTATAGTATTCTCTAAAGCCTGGTCCGTGAGCACATAGAATTTTGTCCAATGATCCCAATCTACCCATCCTTATCGCTCGCGCGTAATTATATTGCTGACGCGACTGTACGACGGGTGCCCGCAGTGAGTGTGCGAGCGCGACAGCAACATTACTCACAGACCAGACTACAGCATTATCTAGCTTTCATTGCTCTATCACAGCAAATCAGTCTACAATATTGAACTTTACACCGTTCACCCAAGGTTTACCTTTCTCTGCAGCACGTTGATCTTCCGATCCTTGATCTCTGAATGGTCTCGCAGCTCGGCCAACTCGTGCGCAGCCGCCAAAGCCGCCGCAGTCTTCTTCTCAACCACTCTGCTCTTCTCGTCGAGGCGGGCTTTTAGTTCCTCCACCTAAATAAGAAAATTTATTAGGATATTAGCACTTATGTCACTGATCATAAGGTTTCCAAAAGTTTCCATGTTCTATAGACCGTGATAAACGTGAGTAGGTGCCATTTTGGCTCAACAAATTGTATTCTGTCAAATATGTGATATTATGTTAAACAGTTTTTGAACCAAATACATTATTTTTCTTTCTTTCTTTCAAAAAAAACTATTCGTGTCGTTTCAGCCAAATGACGTCCACTGCTGGACAAAGGCCTCCTCCCAAGGTTTTCCAAAATGAACGGTCCTGCGCTGCCCGCATTCAGGTTTTTCCCGCGACTACTATCTATATATATAAAAGAAAGTCGTGTTAGTTACTCCACTTATAACTCAAGAACGGCTGAACCGATTTAGCTGAAAATTGTCAGGGAGGTAGTTTAGAGCCAGGAGAAGGACATAGGATACTTTTTATCCCGTTCGAAATAAAAAAAAGTCTGCTTATTTATTGCCATTAAGGCGGAACAAAGTTCGCCGGGTCAGCTAGTTAGTACTAAAGGTGTATTAGAATCAAAATATTTAGAACAAGTAAAAAGAAAGCATCTGTTGAGAAAATAGAAAAGGAGACGTTAGATGCAGCTAATGAGGGTTTAGTTTTCTTTAATTTATGCAGATTCTTTGTAAATTTTCGTAGTCTTAAATATACATAGTCTAAATACATATAGTGTGAGTAAGGACTACACACCTCATCTATCTTTCACTAAAACAAAATCCAAGAAATTTCTCACGTCTGTCTGCAGCATGCTGTAATGTTCCTCCTTGGCGCACAGAGACTCCTTCAGCACGGCGATGTGGCGCTGGTAGTCCTGGTGCTGCTCCTCCAAGGCCTTCATCTTCGCCGCCATCGCCAGGATCTCCTGGTCCCGCCGCTGAATCTCCAATCGGAACTCATCCAACTGCTCATCAATCCACCATCCATCCAAAAGTCGATATAAAATTAGACAAATCCAAACATCCGTTAGTAGAACATATCAACATCATCAACCAACAAGAAAAAACTATCTACTAAGGCAAAAGTGATGGCGAAAATGATATTGATGTTAAAAACTTTAATCTACTAAATACTGGTTTGGTAATGGTCGTTAGAGGTACAGGTGATGTTAGTACCATGAGAAGCACCACAAGCTTTTCTTAGTTACAAACGAAATGTTTCCAGCACCTTGGGAACACGGTTTGGTGTGCCATGGAAGACATTTCGACATTCTCTCATTTACTCCTTTATTTACATGCAACACTTTAACTTTATAATTATCTCGACGTATCTTAACTTTAAATCCGTATCATGAATGGACTGCTGGAAAACTTTCTATACTAAATACTAATAATATGGAAAAGATTGAAGGCTCGATGACGGTAGAAAGCTTTCCAGACGATCTAATGTCAAAACTTGAGAAAACATCTGGAGATGCACGGGCGCCTATGTTGTGATACACTTATCTACCGTACTGTGAGAGAAACGGATGATCCATGACGACTACATGAAGAGGTCGGGTCGTGATGTGGATGCCGGGACCAAGCTGCGCGGACTTGCGATCACACCGAAAGCACAACATGATCAAATCAAACATTTTCAACGAATACTTTAAACAGTTACTCGAAGTTAATTCGATGCATACGACCTCGACAGTCTTTATATTTAAACAGTCTATCTATAATCATCAATTTGGTGTCAGCGTCAATCTCACATGTTTCATCTAACCGTACATTACATCTAAAATATACTCGCATCGCCTAGGGCCCTACTTAACAAAAATATCTCGTTCGACATCTTTCAAGAATATAATTCCTCTTATTCAATAAAAATAGCTTTAACAACGAACAAGTTCACACAAAAATATTACGAGTCAACACAGTCGGCGACTTCGGCTAAGTTCGGACTTAAAGCGAGAAATTGACATGGTAACCCGTCGGCGACGGAGTCACAGAGTGGTGGCACTATAGTAGGGCGAGGGCCGCGGATGCACGCGCAGGGCCGGCCGCGGCGGCCGCGCCGGCGGCGCGCTCGTGCGCCCGTCCTTCATCACTCGGACGTCGTTCAGCAGGAAACTTACTTGTCTCTTGAAGGGAGGGTCGGCCTTATCGTAAAGCGAGGCGTGCGAGGGCGCGAGCGAGGGCGGCGGCGGCGACACGTACGCGGCCAGCTCGCTCTCGAGCAAGGCGACCTGGCGCTCCAGGGTGGCGATGCGCGCCTCCTTGGTCTCGAGCACGGCCGTCAGCGTGGCCCCCGCGCTGCCGCCCGGCAGCCCGGCAGCCGCCAGCGCGCGCTCCAGCTGCGTCTGCAGCGCCCGCAGCGTGTCCGCCGTCGCCTTGAGCTCCTGCCATCACGGTCACGGTCAGCCGCCGCCGCCGCCCGCGCGCCCGACGGCGGCTCGAACTTACAACCTACCTACAACAGGCGACGCGTCTCGTCCCTCCCGGGGCGGCCGCGTCCCGGCAATTTACCCACCGCAGGGCGCGACCCTTGCGTGCTACACGGTGACGGTGATCGCAAGCTTAGCGTCGGTACGCTGCAAACCTTCGAGGCTAGAGCCTACCTAGCTACTGAATTTTGATAGCGTTCCGAAATTTTAGCCCTAAGCGATGTCTTCCGCTAGAAGGTCTTGCGATTGGTATAAGCACCGTGGATGCGGTTGCTTCATTGGTCACCATGCATCACAGTCACAAGATCCACGCCCTGTGGTGACGGCAAACTGTTGGGACGCCGACTCCATTTGCGGCCTATGAACGGTCAAGCTTGAAAGTTGCAACTGAATCGCGTTGGAGACGCCGCAGCCCCGGTCGTGGCGGTTAAAAGAAAATTTTGCATCTAATTTAATGATTGCTCAACTGAATGCCCAATAACAAAATTTACGAGACGGTCTAAGGTTCGTGTGACGGGGACTTAATGAGCTGCTAAACATGCAATGTCGTGAATCTGGTCGTGTTTTGTGTGGATTTTAAAATTTCGTCTGTGTGTTTTGGCCGAATTGGGTTAACGTTTGTTTAAATTTTGAATTTTTTATTTGTTGACGTGTGAAAGGAGGGTAGTAAGAAAAGGAAAAGTGCTTGGGGAACAAGCTTGAGTGTCACAGAGGCTTTGAAAGACCGTGGAAGTGAGAAAGCAAGATTTGTCAAGAAGTGAAGGCGACGAATGGCCGTAGAACACATAAGGCTTCGCGACAGACACATTCCGCTCAAGTTAATGAATGAAATGAAACTATCAAGAGCAATTCTAACAGAAACAGTGACGATGATAAAGGTATCACAAAATAAAACGCCCATGTGATAGTAACACTAACTAGACATAAGGAAGCGTAGTGACGTGCACATCATACTCTAGCTAATCGTAATGCAGGAAAGTTTGTAGTGTTAGTAAAGTTCCCAGTAGTGGGGTATATACTGAGAAGTTTACTAACCAAGCTAATTGCTAAGCTAACATGCACCACGGGACAGACATCGATAATTACCTGTTTTTGCGCCATGGCCTGCATTTGTTGGAACATTTGTCTTTCTTCCTCTTTCCCTGAAAGTGTGAAAGGGTTACATTGTGTCCTATCAGATATTGCCCTTTAATTTCATTCAATTAATCGATCTTAAAGATTTAGGGGCTTATTACAAAAAGATAAACGGGCGTTGAACTCTTGTTTAAATTGACATTTAGTATGGAATTTAAACACGTGTTTTTACATCTGTTTAAGTTTTTCGTAATAACTCTAGTCTTTAATTTGTATAAATTTCATTCAATTGGCAAAGTGTCAGCAAATAATTCTGAAAACGCAGAATTCACTAATAAGCACTAAATATTACATTTTTCTTAAAGGACGAAGCACATTCATCAACCCGGAGACGGATCGTAACCGTATGAACTAGAGGCGGTCAGTATTCTTTGTATGAGACTCCGTACTGCAACGGATACTTATCCGCACAGTAACGTAAACGCCTCGCCTTGCGGTTGACAGCTCTTTGAAAGGCGATACGGTGTTAATCCCTATCCGAGTTGATAAGTGTGCTATGACTTTAAGGCTGCTACTTAAATTAGGTAAAAAATGAGGCAATAATTACATAGTAACGACGTACCCATCCCCTTATTCTGTAGCATTTCGAGCAACTTTTTGATGCTTTCATCTCGAGCTTGTAAGGTTTGCTTTTGTGTTTCGATCCGTAGCTCTAGTTCCTGTGGAAATTTTGTTAATTAATGCCTGGTACTCAACGTGCCGTGGTTATTATAAAAAACCATTTCGCAATTAATTAAGTAAATAAAATCGACTTTATCGACTAAAGAAAATCATAAAGCTGTCTATTTTTTCTACTTCAACGGGACTATTCCCACCTCTCGTTCCCACCGCTGCAACTCCTGTATAGCCAGGATCTACAGCTTGGCTGCCAATAAAATCCCAACCAGTGAAGGTCAAGTTAGTCCCGGGGAAAAGTTAAACTGTCATTGGACCCTTCTCTACTTGAGAAAAGACAGCTTTTTGACGAACCTATAGCTGCCTAGACTCATCATCAGCACACTTTAGTCCAGCAGTAGCAGGACATACCTACCAACTATTGTATTTTATATGCTACTATCCATCACCACCCTATCATCCGTATTCACAAACGATGCTTGCTTAAGGCCGGGTAACAGAGAAAATGGCGAAAATGAGGTTTTCATTTTTCATTTTTGAGGTACTAAACAGTAAAATAAAAGGCTAAGATTTTTTTTGGGCATAGTTGAGGATATTTTCTAGGGCTATTAACGGATGGAAACACGATTTGATGAAGTTGACTCNCATATACAAAAAGAACAGCACCGCCTATGTTTCAGTTCCACGCGAAAATATGTAGGTAATTTAAATAATTTATTTCTCAGATATTTCTTTATCGATTTAAAAAAAAACTTCACCGTCTTTTAGTTTTGGTATATATTTTAATCCCATTCAGAGAAATATAGTGTTTTTAACATCAGAAACTTCTCCATTGAAATGCTGGAAGAGCAATTTATTTACAATACCTCTTTATCTTGATCATCTGTCTATTGAAGAACAAGAAATGCATGTGGAGTTCTTAGAATCGTTTTCTAGTTCTAAATGAAGTGATAAGTTAACCTTTAACCGACGACGTGATTTTTTTGTCACGCCGTCTGCGACGTGCGGTCTGTGGGACCGCTATACTGTTTACTCAAAAAGTAATATTTTTTTTGTACAAAAGTATATTGGTTTTATATTTTTTGAGAACATTATAGTATTACAAATAAACACACGTATAATTTGCGAGAAATCAATGTATATTTTTTATTTAAATATGGCTAAAACTTTTTTGACCCCTAATTTCATTGAAATTACACTAGAGCTCAATAATACCTATATAACTTGTAAATTTTAACCCAGTTGTTCCTGAAACATCTTTTTACCTCAGATCTGAATGAATTTCACATATTGTTTTCAAAATGCGACTACTAGGACGAAAAAAATATTTAAAAAAAAATCCATCGCTTGGAAATTTCGGAAAATGGCGTTCTTTTAAAAGGACGCTAGCAAAATGTACTGCTATTACAATGACTAGAAAAATGAACCAATACTTTCAGCTTAACATAGATTTATTGAGAAGTATGGAAGTTTTCAAAGCAAGATTTGGGATGCAATGTAACATTACATTTAAGACAGTAAATTATAGCTTTTTTATGGCATAAAAACAGCGCAGTTGATTATCTCTATACCTTATTATAGGGTCCTTTCCGTAGAAAGCGTGAATTTTCACGGAAATTTTGAGATAATCGTGTTGCTTTTCGGTCAGTTTTTTTTATAACTTTCCAGTAGAGCTGTTGCAACACCTGCGAAATTGAAGAAAATCATATCTTTGGTCATCGTAGTGCGCACTCGCTGAAATAATATTTTGTATATGTGAAAGTGTTGTGAATGCCTATACTAAAACGTTTGTTTTTATTTGTACAGATAACAATAGTGTCTAGACAAACCTAAAGAGGATTTAGGACGCTATTTGGATCAAATATGTAATTGCTCAATAATGAATACTATATAAAATAAAAATAAAATAAAATATGTGCCCTTATCATTTTTATAAATCTGCCAAAAGTTGTGTAAAGCCATGTCTAATCCGTGGCAAATCAATGAGAAGTACCATTTTTTCCTTTATCTTCACCAAACACTGATTCAAAGTACTGTAGCGGAATCCACTACGAAGCAGCTGCATATCAAGCCATGGCTCGAAGGATGGATTTATATCTCGCGCCAGCCAAATGTATCGTTTGTTTTTTGAAACAGTTACATCCGATTCTGTAGTCAAATTTGATAAACTTGCAACAGAACTGTGTCCCGATTCTGTTGATAAAATACGCCTGTGTTTTGATAACGAAGAAAGCATATCGTCTTCTTCATCTTTACTACTCTCTTTTATATGAAAACAGATTTCCGCCTGTGCCCGCAGCTACGACCCAGGTAAATTGTGCAAAGTTACTTGGTTTTCATCAACTGAATCCTCGTCAGTAACATCAGCGTTGCAATTTTCAGGTGGCAAAACAATGATAGAATCAGGCACTTCCTCTTCGTCGTCCTCTTCCAGCTCTAAAACTATTTCATTCAATGATATGGCCGATTTTTTGCCTTATCTCGCGATCTAAAAAGAATACGTACGATAGTAGTACAATTTGCTATTGGTCGTTTAAAAGAACGGCAATTAAAACTGCACAAAATGCAAGTATTTTACAATAATTTAAGTAAAATAATTATTTCATTTGAAAATCATATTGTTTTTCTATTTATTTTTAAACGAAATAAACGAATAAAGCATGCTTATATAATTAAATAAACATACCTGAATTTCTCCATAATAAACAGTTGTTTCCAAATAAAGAAATATTATACTACATAACGAATTACACGAACGATGAACTAAGTGTGCGCTTTGTACACTCAACACGTATCGAATGAACATAAACATTTTATTTCTACGTACCCTCATTGTTTATAATATTTTTTTTTATGCGGTGTCCTTTTAAAAGTACGATAGCAACAAGTGGGTTNATGAGACAAAACCAATGAGTTAAAATTACATTTTAATAGTACCTACATACAATCGTCTTCACTCTTTAGAAGAGCACACTGACACAAATAAATAATAAAAAATTGGGTCAGTGGGTCAAATATAGGGGCAGCTGCACGTCACTGAAAGACGATTCTGTTTACTCGGCATCTGGGCTGGAGAACATGAATCCTTGCTTACAGATGCAGATGTAAATAGAGTTATAATTGGACAAATTTTACATGAAATGTTTAACAGAACTCAGTTAACCCAGTTGTTCCTGAAACATCTTTTTACCTCAGATCTGAATGAATTTCACATATTGTTTTCAAAATGCGACTACTTGGACGAAAAAAATATTAAAAAAAAAATCCATCGCTTGGAAATTTCGGAAAATGGCGTTCTTTTAAAAGGACGCTAGCAAAATGTACTGCTATTACAATGACTAGAAAAATGAACCAATACTTTCAGCTTAACATAGATTTATTGAGAAGTATGGAAGTTTTCAAAGCAAGATTTGGGATACAATGTAACATTACATTTAGGACAGTAAAAGTTAGCTTTTTTATGGCATAAAAAACAGCGCAGTTGATTATCTCTATAACTTATTATAGGGTCCTTTCCGTCAAAGCGTGAATTTTCACGGAAATTTTGAGATACTCGTGTTGCTTTTCGGTCAGTTTTTTTTATAACTTTCCAGTAGAGCTGTTCACTTCTGCGAAATTGAAGAAAATCATATGTGCCCTTATTATTTTTATAAATCTGCCAAGAGTTGTGTAAAGCCATGTCTAATCTGTGGCAAATCAATGAGAAGTACGATTTTTTCCTTTGTCTTCACCAAACACTAATTCAAAACTGCAAAGCAGCAGTCTGCATATCAAGCCATGCCTCGAAGGATGGATTTATATCTCGCGCCAGCCAAATGTATCGTTTGTTTTTTGAAACAGTTACATCCGATTCTGAAGTCAAATTCGATAAACTTGCAACAGAACTGTGTCCTGATTCTGTTGATAAAACACGCCTGCGTTTTAATAACGAAGAGAGCGGCATATTATCATCTTCTTCATCTTCACTACTCTCTTTTATATGAAAACAGATTTCCGCCTGTGCCCGCAGCTACGACCCAGGCAAATTGTGCAAAGTTACTTGGTTTTCATCACCTGAATCCTCGTCAGTAACATCAGCGTTGCATGTTTCAGGTGGCAAAACAATGATAGAATCAGGCACTTCCTCTTCGTCGTCCTCTTCCAGCTCTAAAACTATTTCATTCAATGATAATTTTTAGTTTTTAATCCCTAATTGCAGTTGCTTTAGTCTCTAACGCATGATGTTTTCACCTATAATTAAGTTTGCATTTAACAAGTGTCATTTTTTATAGTTACTTTTGTGAAGCCTCAATGTAACCTTGTTGGTGTTCAAATAAATAAATAAATAAATAAAGGCCGATTTCTTGCCTTATCTCGCGATCTAAAAAGAATACGTACGATAGTAGTACAATTTGCTATTGGTCGTTTAAAAGAACGGCAATTAAAACTGCACAAAATGCAAGTATTTTGCAAAAATTTAAGTAAAATAATAATTTCATTTGAAAATCATATTGTTTTTCTACTTAGTTTTAAACGAAATAAACGAATAAAGCATGCTTGTATAATTAAATAAACATACTGAATTTCTCCATAGTAAACAGTTGTTTCCAAATAAATAAATATTATATTACATAACGAATTACACGAACGATGAACTAAGTGTGCGCTTTGTACACTCAACACGTATCGAATGAACATAAACATTTTATTTCTACGTACCCTCATTGTTTATAATAATTTTATTTATGCGGTGTCCTTTTAAAAGTACGATAGCAACAAGTGGGTTAAAAGACACATACATGGAATACCAATAAGGTTGCGGAGGGAAAGCTACCTATTATAAACTAGCGGCCGCCCGCGACTTCGTTCGCGTGGACCTCGTTTTACCCCCGTTAGATATGATGTTTTACCTCATTTTACCCATGTTGATAGATGGCGTTTCACGGTTTCCCCCGAATGAATATTTACGAACGTCATACCGTAGTTTGTCCAGTGCTGTAGATTTTAACCAATGACGATAGATGGCGCTTTTAGACACGTCTTATTTATTTATTGAAATTTATTTGCCACATATCGTCATAATGTTAATCTGGGTTATAAACAATAATACTGTAAAGTTTCAACAAAATCCGTTCAGTAGTTTTTGCGTGAAAGAGTAACAAACATCCAGACATCATGACATCCAGACATCCAAACTTTCGCCTTTATAATATTAGTAGGATATTTCACAATCCAAACTAATATTTACTATTTAGCATTTACTTACAGTAAATATTAGTTTGGATCGTGAAATATTTAAAATAAAAAAAAGAATAAAACAAAATAGGGTTTCAAATTACCTATCTATAATCTAATATTATAAAGAGGTAAAGTTTGTGTGTTTGTATATTTGTTAAATTGTAAGGGGTAATCTCGGGATCTACTGAACTGATTTTAAAAAATCTTTCACCAATAGAAAGCCACATTATATCTGAGTGTAATAAGTTATATAAAAACCAAAAAATTCCACGCGGGCGAAGCGGCGGGCGGAAAGCTAGTTTATTTATAATTATGTAAGAGCATAATTATTAAAGTCGAAGTCAAACATTCTTTATTTGTGTGGACCTATATTAACGAGAGATTACAAGAGATTACAAGGCGTCAAATATTTCAAGAAAAAAATTAAAAACTATTATAAAGCTAAATTTTGCTCTCATGGAGCCTTTACCTACTCTGACAAATTAAGACTTAGAGAAGAAACTAATAATAAAACTATTTAACTGTCCTGCAATGAAAAGCTTGATCGGGTACAACACCTCAAGTTATTTCAGAACTTGATTTCATTAAAAGACTCCGAATATCAAATCGCTTAGGTATCTAAAGTCAAACGATTCTGAAATGTCAAGTGGACTAATGAATAACCCATTAAGATAGTAGCGCCCTCCTGTCAATGACATACCTGGAACGATAGAGTTTTGAACAACTAATAAAAATGCTTTGTCCTAAATGACTGACGGATATCGTAGAGACCTGAAAGTTGGAAGGTGTGTTCTTTTTATGACGTAGGCATCTCATAAGAAAAGATTTTCCGAAATGGGGTCATGAAATGAAGGGGGTGAAAAAAGGGGGCAAAGTTTGTATGGGACAAAGTGATTCCTTGGTTCAATCTACTTGAAATTTAGTTTAACAATACCTTAATATAATTCATGAAAGACGTGTGGAACGGGTAGAAAGTAATTTTGGCAGTCATTTTCTTCGAAGTTGATATCAATACTACTTAGTGCCTTTGATTTAATTACTTTTTATTTTTACAAGTGTTTGAAAACTCCATTTCAGATTGTGTTCAATGTCAAGTGAAATCTCAAATTGAAATGTCTCAATCTCAATGAGGAGACTCTGTATTTATTCCTAGAATTCCCCAAACACCGTCAAATTACCCTTTCGAATTCAAGACAGTGCAGTTTCCCATCAGTCTGCTTCGTAATGACTATAAACAAAGCTCAAAGTCAAACTCTAGGGACCTCTGCTTAAACTCCCATGAGTGCACAGAGGTACGCAGGTAACCGCGTGTGATGCTTATAGCAATTTTCGATAGGTACAGAACCCCGTACATACGTCATACATATTATAGAAAGAAAACACCCAGACCAATACAAACAAATATGTTTCTGCAATTTTAGTATGATATTTTTATTTATTAATAAACAAAGAGACTGAACAAAATTGATGCGTACCTATACTGATTAATGTTATTAACCACATGCAAAGCTTCGTGAATTGCATCAACTATAATTAAATTTATTATCCAAGCTCTAAATAATCGCTACTTAGAGTAACTTATCATAAAAAAAATTCCAATCGCTCAAGCTCCCAAGGGCCTACCGATAGGTCGGGTGACGTAATCTTGAAATTCTTTAAGCCGGCGCAGAACTTCCAGAAGGTCGGGCGACGCCACGGCCACTTTGAACAGTGTTTACTTCTGCAGTTATATTTTATATTTATTCGATTCTAGAATATATTCCCAAAAAGTCTGAAAGGTGTTTTAATTTGTATCACTTGGATATGATTTCTATTAGAAAGTGTTGTGAGTGTGACGCTTGAAGGGAAGGAAGTCAACCTAACCTAACCAACTGCGTATTTCTATACTGTGTAGCTGGAAATTGTGGCAGGAGCTCTTTGACGCGTTGTTTTCGGCGAAGAATTGCGCGCGCAGATTTTGACAGCGCGAAATACCTACTTTAGAAGAAATACCAAGCCTTAAGTGTGGCAGCAAATGGAACGCACAGCATTGAATAGAGCTATGTGATTGGTTCGTGTGTCACCCTGTGCGTCCACACGCTTTAATTCACGAGCTACAGTAATCCCATGCGGTACTAACAACATATCGTTGTCTCTCTCACCTTAATAGTGTCCCGCTAGCTATCTCCCTCTGCAGCTGCGGTTTTTCACGTTAAATTTCTCTAACTACATGCAGTACTGACAACATATAGTCGTCTCCCTCACCTTAATAGTGTCCCTCAATATAGCTATCTCCCTCTACAGCTGCTGTTTTTTCACGTCCAATTTCTCTAACTACTCTCATGCTGACGAACTTAATAGAGCCGTCTCTCTCACCTTAATAGTGTCCCTCAATATAGCTATCTTCCACCGCAGCTGTTGGTTTACCTCTAATACACGAGGTACAGTAATCCTATTCAATACTGACAGTATATTTTCGTCTCTCTCACCTTAATAGTGTCCCTCAATATAGCTATCTCCCTCTGCAGGTGTTCGTTCTCAGCATACAGCGCTTCTAATTGTTGCTGCAACTCCGGCGCCGGCTGTCGCATGCGCAATCTTAGTTCTTCTTCCAATTGTCTGACGAGCATTGCTTGTTTCTGGAAGGAGAAGGGAAATGGTTAGTAAAGAAAGACACGTTGAGTAAAGAAGATACATTGATTTAAGTATAATAGGGTAGCTGAAGGGGTTTAGTATAATATTTCTTAAAACAAACTTTTGGGACTATTATTTACTATTATCATCAGATCATTGCAGGAGTTCGACTCAATTCGAATAAACAGAGGCAAATAAAGGATTTCCTAAACTATGCCTAAACTCCTCATGCTTGCCAGACGGGTTAGGAAATCTAAGTTCACTTAAAATTAAAATCAAGTGTCATGTTTTGCTTTTCGCAGGATAAAATTAAAGAAAGAAATTTCGCAATACAGAAAATATAGCTAAGATATATTTTTTACCTAAGTTGTCAAATGGTCAAACTTAACCATAATAATAACAATTCAACTTGAACAACAGCAAACGAATGCGAAACGTAACCTATCAATATCAACAAATTACATAAAACACAATAATTTGAAAATTATAAATAACTTGAAAAAATCGAACTGCCTAAGGCGGGAATTGAACCCACGACCTTCCGCTTGCCGTAATCGTGGGTTCAATTCCCGCCTTAGGCAGTTCGATTTTTTCAAGTTATTTATAATTTTCAAATTAGTTTGAGATGCGACTCTTAACGCTAAAAATTTAATAAACACAATAATGTTGCCTAAAAGAACTTTCTGTTCATCAAAACGCAAACGAATATTCAGCCAGGGGAATATGCTCGCAATATCGGCAGAGCCCCATAGTATCGTCGTCAAAGAGAAAGCGATATTAGTTCGCGTAGTTGCAAACTCGTTTGTGCACATTAGGGGCATCGTGGTTCTCGTATTACAATGGAGCAGATCCTTGAAAACGGTGTAAGTTTTTTCCATCTTTCAAATGTCTGAAAGTCTAGCTTACCTACATCACATAATCTCAAAGAGATGAAGTTGTTTATAAATACGCGTACAAACGACTGCAAATAAAGTCGCTTCTGTGTTTATTTATAAATCATTGAGGCAACTTAATTTGGATCTAATATGTCATGATGATTATTATTATGGCAAAACCCTCCACTATAGTGGAGGAGGCTCATAGTCCAGCAGTGGACTGTAAAGGGCTGTTGATGATGATGATGTCATGATGACCTTTAACTGTAGCCTGTAGCTGTAGCTAAAAGACCACCTAAATTGAATGATGTTTCAAGAGATAATCTCTATACCTATAATATTAGTTAGATTATTGAAATTTACATTTGATATAAAGACGTGGGGTGGCGTACAATTTCATGTCGTTCGAATAGGAGCAGCATAACTTTTCAAATAATTAGGAAAAATTTGCAAATGTGTTAGGAGGACACACTGATGAGCATTACGATGCTCATCCATCATCAATAGGTAATTTTGGTCTCTAGGAGCACTCTTAACCGGCGTTTACCCGTGGTCCCCCCAACATGTCCCCCTGGTGGGTCCACGGGTAATTTTTTTTACCCGTTGTCCCATGACCGTTTTGAACAGTGTTTGCCAGTGGGTCTACGTCATAACGTCTATCTGCATGCCAAATTTCAGCCCGATCCGCCCAGTGGTTTGGGCTGTGCGTTGATAGATCACTATGTCAGTCAGTCAGTCAGTCACCTTGATGTGTGGCTGAATTTTAGTTCCTGAAACAACCCCACTACCCTTTTCGTACTACAACATTGTAAACCTATAATTGTAGCCTTCGTAAGTACACAATGGCATCAAATACGGAACTCCTATCATTAAAACTTGCCCACTCAACAAACTCTGTACGTTGCTAGTCATTGTAAACAGCTAGTGTTAGGTAAATTCAATCGTAACCTTTTGGGAATAGAGTTCAAAACGGGTTATTTACTTCTGATATTGTTAAACCACAATAGTGATGTGGGAGTATCAACTGGTTCGGACTTATCGATAGTATCTCCACGCGATGTTGTTCCATGTTTGTGGTGTAAAAATATACATTTTAAATAAGTAGTGAGCAATGAAAATTAAAAGGATAAATAACAATTATTTCATGGAAGTCTACACACTTAGCATTGCGATAATAGCACACATACCTATTAATAAGACTCCTGAACCTCATGTTGGCAGAAGAAACAACACAAATATAATACAATATTGTAGCATGAAATACATTGCTTTAAAAGTTGTCTAAAATTAAGGCATAAGCTCAAACCCACAAGTAGATTAATGACCTCATAAAGGTAGCAAGAAGACGCTGGATGGAGGCCGCTACCAACCAAGCAATGTGGAAATCATTGAGGGAGGCATTTATTCAGCAGTGGACATCCTGTGGCTGAAATGATAATGATGATGAAGCTTTTTCAATTTACCTTTATGACTGTAGGTAATCTAGCATCCATTTAGTTAGTCTAGCATCAATCTAGATTGTAACCGACTTTTATTTTCTCTAAACCTAACTTAGGTAAGTAGATATGAACGACTATCATCTGGAGCGTCTTTTATAGTTGTAATAAAGAATGTTTTTCAGTATCAATGAATAGTCTGATGTGCCAGCTCAGTGGTACGTACGTATGATTTATTGTGTCACGTCAACCCACGCCGTAAGCCGGCGATATGATATCACGTAATTCATATGACATAGTTATTACGAGTATGCATTTCACATATAAATACAATGTGTTCATTAATCTTATCATTATACCACTTTTTTACCGACCTGAACTAAAGTGGTTCCCAAAATCGAAGGCTTGTACGTACATTTATTTACTTTCACCATACCTACTAGGTGTTATTTAAAACGTCAATTATTATATTTTGTCTTGTTGTTCTGTAATTTTCCATGGAAATAGAAGGCCCTAAACTTTGCTGGTACTATTGGTATGAAGGTGACATGTTGGTGAAACTGAATTTCTTAACAAGAGTTCCTTCTATACCTGTAGGATGGGACTCAAATTTAGGGGTTTGTCGGTGAAAATGGGTATTAGATAGACCATCTTTAGAAATGTCATATTGTAAAGTCTCAAAAGTATTCTGAATGTACATTTTTGTAGCAAAACAGCACCTTTTAAAATCCCATTAGATATTATGATACATAAAGTCTTCCACTTGCCTCTGGCAAATTAGAGAGGGCTCTTGCAGAAAGAAGCTGTTGGTACCATTGCTGATAGAAAATTGTAAAAGAAAAAAGTGCCTGTGGTTTAAATAGCAGATTAAGTTGCAAGATTGTAATATACCATCTGGCCTCAAGGGAAATTTACTTCCGGGATAAAGTAAATTTTGCAGTTATTACCTCTTTTTATGCATTTTAATCGGAACTTGCAAGTAAGAGAACATGGGAAAAAAAGTAAAAAATACTGGCAGTTGATAACACATAAGTATTAAAAAGTATTGCGTTTTTTTTTAATTCAACGCATAAAATACGCGCAAAGGCATAAAGACGTTCAGATTACACAATACAAAAGTCCTCGAAATCCGAAAGTTCCATATTCAAATACTGCGATTCCAAATTCAACAGCGTCAAACCTAACCTTTATTACATTAGACATAAAGTAAAAAACTCGATTTATTTTTCTTGTAGAAGGTTTCTAAATCGCTACCCTCCCAACCCATCCCGCTGCGGCCCATTTCTTCCTTAATTCCAACCAAATCGATACTTTCAAGGCCCACATTTGTTTGTATGAAGCTTTATACTAGGGTCGTTCTATCAATCGACACTATTACGGGATTATCGATATGAATCGGTTTTAATGGACAAATTAAATTAGAAAATGTTTCATTAAGTTTTATATATTTTCAAGACGAGAGGTACTTTCGTCGGATTTCTGAAATAAGATTTTTAGAGAACATAAAAGCTTAAGTTTATATTTAGGTAAGAAATGAATAGAAAATTCAGAAACCGGGGATAGTTATTTAAGATTTGCGTTTGAGATACGAAACCCAATTTCTAGTAACTACATCATTTAAGTAATGTATATCCACACAGCCTTTAACTTTTTATACTTAGCTACATACCAAAATATTAAAATGATTTTACGAAATTTTAAAACAAGTAAAAGAAAAAGTATTTTATTTGCCAACAAACGGTTTACGGTTAGTCTGTTCTTCTAGCGGCTGCTGCAGTAAGCTGTGCTTGTGTCGCGGCAGCCATAATTAAGTAACACAGGTTTAACAATATTGATAAAATATTTTTTTCCAACAACAATGGAATTTTATAAAGAGAAAAAAACCCTGTCATTGGCTATACTATCAGTCTAAATCTTATAACTAACATTTTCAATGTATCGCTGTTGGTTTCTATAAATAAATAAATATACTTAGTGAGGACACACGATACATGGCAATTTAACAGTTTTTAAAGCTTATAGATATAGCTTTAAGATTGAGAACAACGCGATTATTCATATTCGAATGGACGACTATAACTTGAACAAGTCAATTGATTATAGCTACGATCGTTTCGTTTTCATTAGCCATGTTTCCTGACTAATAATCATAATTTTATCGATGTCGAGGTTATCAATCAACATCACTAATTTGACAAAGAACCGATTATTTTAATGAAACGGTGCCGTAGAGGGTCAGGCCAATGTGGGTATAGGCCAATGATACAGCCGTTTTATAACAATAAATTAATAAATTGTACAGTCAGCGACAAATAGTTTGTGACACCCAAAGTAGCCAAAAAGTTCGCACGTCTTTTTTCATCATCATCATTTATCATTTCAGCCATAGGACGTCCACTGCTGAACATAGGCCTCCCCCAATGACTTCCATGTTGACCGGTTGGTAGCGGCCTGCGTCCAGCGCCTTCCTGCTACTTATTATGTCGTCGGTCCACCTTGTGGGTGAACGTCCCACGCTGCGTTTTCACTTTTCCGGTAGTTACGCGGCCTTCACTCCAGAACCTAGCCGCTTTGCCTCTGTTAAAATTGGAATAAGGTTGTTTTATCAAATTTTTGGGTGTCACGAACTACATATTTGACGCTGACTGTACCTACAATTAATAACTCCCAAAGGGCTCTATAGCACGACATG